GCGTTGAGCGAGGTCCTGGGCTGCATTATTGGTAGGAGTTGGCGCCGGACCGCCAGACTGTTGAAGCGCATGCCCGTGGAGAGCCTGTGGTTTGGGATGTACGGCTGGCTTGGACCTCCCGGGCGACGGCCATGACTGAACTGGCAAAGCATACGTACTTTGTTGAGGCGAGCTATAGACCGAACTGTTGGGACTCGTGGTATTTGACGAGAAACTAGAATGTGATCTCGTATGTCCGTTTCCGACCCCGACACTGGGCATTTTCTGCTGATTTGGGCTGCCTAATAGTGGCTGGACGCCCGTTCTGGCATTATCTTGTTTGATCTGTTCTTTGATCTTATCGAACTCGTTTATCAGGCTTTTGATCTGTCGGAGGAGATATTGATGTCGCATATATACGTTCGGTCGGCTTCGTTCCAGCACCGCCCAGTCCTTATTCTTCGGGATGATATCAAGAGCTATGATGTTGGCCTTGATGTAGGACTTGAAAGCCATGTCAATCCTACCAAAGGACTGGAAGGCTTTGGCCTGCTGGAGTGCTTCTTCGGCGAGTTTGAGAGCACTTTCGATTGGGGTCGCTGGGTCTATGCTGACTGTAACAGCCCTGATGTCGTCAATATGCGGCATTGGTGGTCGTTTCCCTCCTCCGGCCCCGGCCCCTGTCCCGTTTCCTCCCCCTCCTCCTCCTGCTCCGTTTATTGTCCGGCCTTGTCCACCATCATGTGTGCCGTCCAAGCCTCCTATTATGTGGCCATTCTGCCCGTTGACGGAATGCGCAGATGTCGCATGGTTGACCATGGTCGAAGATCCAGCCATATGCAATCCCAAGTATGAGTGGTGTCCGTTGGCGCACCTGGGGCGCAAAGCGCAAAGTGCTGATGTCGAGTTGATATAGCGCGCCGCGGATGCTGATGTATGCGCGCGCAAAGGGTGGCGGTTCGGTTCTATATAACGACGGTCGAGCGCGTTGGCAGCTGTTATGGAGAGTATGTCGCTATGACATCAAGCCTTCCTGGTTTTGCGTTGTCGTTGACTTCTTCGTCTTCTTGAAACGGGGAAGCAATGGGTGGTTCGTGGAGAGGATGGACAGGATGACGACGGTTCGAGGACGGTACCATGAGTGGCAGCCTGTGATTCCTAATCCTTGCTTGGCCCAACGAGTCGTAACTGGAGGGATAGAGGGTCAGCGCAGCGAATGGGCGACCGGATTCCTCGTATCTTTTTCAGCTGCTCGGATGAAGTGAAACTACCTTGGGTAAATCATTCCATAGTTGATATCGAGGAGGCGGAAGGTGTTCGGCGTCGGCCAAGGAAATGGTTACGGTCAGTCTCTGGTGGGTTTCTTAGTTGGTGGGGGTTGTTGACTTGTTGTCACTGGGAACTTCATCGGGTCTGGCTCCCCGATGTTATGGGGACACAACAGGGGCAAGGGCAGTGCGTCATGGGACGGGACGGATTGCCCTGGATGGTTTCCAACAGTCCCTTCAGCAGCTGTCTTAGTTCTTTAGCGCTATGTGTTAGGCATAAGCGGCTATACGCTGGCCTAAACCCTTCTACCACTATCTGTTGTTTGCCGCTAACTAACACACAGCTGCCCCTAGCAATTGCATCACCGGTGATGACCTGGACCCTCTGGAGGCCGAGCTCACCTGAACACAGCGGCCAGGCCAGGGCAACCAAGTCGCTTCGTGGAAACAAGACCCCGCAGCTCCGCTCCTGCAAGAACCGACATGGGGGAGGTACGTACCCTGGCCCTTGGATGACCTTGGGGGCTTGAGCGGGAATCCTGAAGCACGAGCCGGGAACAGAGCATGGATGGTCGGGGCTCATGCCGCCTGTACTTGCGAGGCTCATACGTAACCAACGGGCAGGCAGAGACGACCTAACAACAGCCCGAGGCACTCGTTGTCAGTGGCTGGCATCCTTCCTTCCATCTTCCACCTCTTCCTCCTCCAAGTCACTATCATACCTTGGTCGACATCGGCCCGTCCATCTTGTTATCGGTCAGAGAAGCTGCTCGGCAACCCAGTACTGGATGCCATTCGGCTCGTAATCGAGACAACTACCCAACCACCTGAAATACCCTCCCGCCTCCACCACCGACACGGCGATATCGTCCCCATCTCCAGCCTGTCCAGCTTGACGCCAAACACCAAAAGCGCATACTCGAGAGAACCTGTCAAGATGATGAGTTGGTGGTCTTCGGGGGCCAACACTGCCCTTGACGAGCAGATAGAAAAGGCCACCAGTAGCAGCTTGTATGTTGTGTCGTCTCGTGGTTCCTTGCTCGCTTCTGGTACGAACCTCTGTCTAACCCGTCCGTTTCTTATGTAGGGAAGATATCGCACTCAACCTCGAGATCTCCGATGTAATTCGCTCCAAAACCGTCCAGCCCAAGGAGGCCATGCGCTCGCTCAAGAAGCGCATCAACCACAAGAACCCAAACACACAACTGAGCGCCCTCAACGTATGCCCACCGCTACAGCCGTGTCCCACCCCTCCCCCAGGCCGCGTCATGCTAACAGGCACCAGCTTACCGATACATGCGTCAAAAATGGTGGCGCACATTTCCTTGCCGAGATCGCCTCGCGCGAGTTCATGGAGAATCTCGTAGGCCTTCTCAAGGCCGTTGGTCCCGCCGCTCCGAACCCCGATGTCCGCAATAAGATCCTCGATTTGATTCAGTCATGGGCCATGGCTGCCGAAGGCCGCTACGAACTGTCATATATCGGGGAGGTCTATAAGACGCTTCAGAGGGAGGGTTATTCTTTCCCTCCTAAGCCTACGGTAGCAAGCAGCATGATCGATAGCAGCGCGGTAGGTCTTACTTACAGACGGCTTTGTGACCATGTGCCAGAGCTAACTAGGCACAACAACAGCCTCCCGAATGGATTGACTCGGACGTGTGCATGAGATGCCGAACCGCCTTCACGTTTACCAACAGAAAGCACCACTGTCGCAACTGTGGCAACTGCTTCGATCAGCAATGCTCGAGCAAATCCCTTCCTCTCCCTCATCTCGGAATCATGCAGGCAGTCCGTGTAGACGACGGCTGCTACGCGAAACTTACCGACAAGGGGGGGAGATCCGGAGGGTCCGACCGAAAGCACCACCATTCATCAAGTCGCCATCACCACCACCACAAACACAAGAGCTCTTCGTCGATGCAGCCACGCGACGCTCGAGTGGACGATAGCTTTGACGAAGACCTAAAGAGGGCTTTGGCTATGAGTCTGGAGGAAGTAAAGAGTTACTCTCGCGGTTACTCGGAGCCGGCGAACAACACACAATCGAGAACGGATAAGCAGTCCACCTCGGTTTCCAAGATTGCGGAGGAGGAAGATGAGGATCTCAAGGCTGCGATTGCCGCCTCACTCGCAGATATGGAGGAGCAAAAGAAGAGACACGCGGCCGCCCTCAAGGAACAGACTTCCAACGTCGGCAGCTCTTCCTCGGCCGCCCCCTTTACGCTTCCAAAGAACGATTATGAGCTCACTCCAGTTGAAGCCGAGAACATCAATCTTTTTGCTACTCTAGTCGATCGTCTTCAAACGCAACCGCCCGGGACTATCTTGCGCGAACCCCAGATCCAGGAGCTTTACGATTCGATCGGCGCCCTACGACCGAAGCTTGCCCGTACATATGGAGAGACGATGAGCAAACATGGTAAGTTGTGCCTATTTGCTTATTTGCTGGATAGGCGGTCCAAGCTAACATGAAACAGACACCCTTCTTGACCTACATGCGAAACTGTCGACTGTCGTCCGCTATTATGACCGAATGCTTGAAGAACGTTTATCCAAGGCGTATGGCCAGCACACCATTGGCGGGTACAATCTTCCGGCTCCTCGACAACCTGCTGGACCCTATCCCACGTTAGACTCGAGTGCTCCCAGCGCTCCTGGGGCAGCAGAAAACTTTTATACTGGCGAGCAACAACCAGACTACGGCCACGCACCTTACGGACAATACCCACCGCAACCACCGCAGTCACAGTACATGCCATACGATAGACGAAGCTCCGTAGTTGGGCCGCCGAATCCTCAGTATCCTCAGCAGCAGATGCCACAAAGGACAGGTAGCTGGGGCAATGCTCCTCCCGCTCAGGCACCGCAGTACAACTATCCAGCTAATGAGGCGGGCCATGTTCAACAGGCGCAGTCAGGTGCACCGGAGTCAGTCCCTGCTGCGTCTAACAATGACCCGAACGCCTCATATTACTACAATCCCGGGCAACATCAGCAACAGCAGCAGCAGCAGCCAGCGCAGCAAGCCCCGGCGGCTCCTGACCATAGTTATCCCAATCTTCCTCAGCAAGGACATTCTTACCAGCCGTCAGTGCCACAAACGCCTGCTTCCGCACCTGTCCAGCCATCGCAAACCCCACAGCAAGCCCACCAACAGGCACCACCGCCTCAGCAGGCTCCGCAACAGCCATACTGGCAGCACTCAGCGGCGCAACAGACTCCCATTCCGCCTGTGTGGCAGGCTCCTCAGCAGACTACAGCATACCCGGGCTATAATCAGGAAGCGTTCCCTTCGGCGCCACAGCATGCGCCAGCCCCGAAGCAGCCGGTTGTTGAGGAAGCTCTTATTGAACTTTGAGTGATTGTCACTTTTGGAGATTGTGTTATAGTAGTGCATTATTTGCATGGCGTTTTCTGCGGTAGATAGGATACTGCATAGGTAGTTGGGAGGAGAGGTGGTTGAGACAAAGAAGATGCTATGCGTATCACAAGATATGTAAATTGAAGTTGTGGCCCTCAATGGGTTTTACAAAGCACAGGTTGATCGATGATTGTACTTGTGTGTTTCTCGCAGTTGAATGTTACTGCTGTCTCAGCAATGAGGTTTCGGTGTTGATTCGGAGCTGCGGCTTACATCAACTGGACCCGCCTCGGTACTCTTTACCCCGGAGCCCGGGAACCGGACAGTGTCGAATCCACCGGGACCCATAGCCGTTCATGCGGCATGCGGAGAACGGCCAAGATCGGTTGAGAACCCTGAGGGTTGCCGGCCGACCGCGATGCCTCATTGTATTTCGGTCCGACGATCGCCTCTGATCGACCGTATCAGAAGTTGCCAACACAATGGCAATCCGGGAAGCCGTGTTACGTATTCGTTGTTCCAAATGTTGTGGTGCTGTTTGATTTCGCCTCGTGATTTTTCTCCCCGTTGATCATTAGTCATACTTGACCACCTACCTACTGACTCATACACAACATTGCTTCCCAACAACACCCTATCCTCTCTTAAACCACCAATCTACAACCTACTCTCAAAGAACATCACTACCCAATCCACGTTTCTCCCAACTTTCTGAGAAACCCTCACCACATACCATCTCAACTTCCAAGAACAACCCGCACCCACCTCACCATCAACGACATCCAAGATGCCTCCCACAACCCCCAAGACAAAAACCTACATCCACCTCGTCCGCCACGCCCAAGGCCACCATAACGTCTCCGCAGCCAACCACTCCCTCCCCGACCCCCTCCTCACCCCCCTCGGCGAATCCCAATGCTTCGCCCTCCGCGACTCCTTCCCCTACCACGATAAAATCACCCACCTCGTTGCCTCGCCCATGCGACGCACCCTGTATACTTGTCTGTTGAGTTTCCAGCCGGCGGTGGAGCGGTTGCGTTTGCAGTCTCAGTCCCAAAATGATGGGAAGAAGAAGAAGGGGGGTGGGGGTGTGGTGGTCGCGCTTCCCGAAGTGCAAGAGGTTTCGAATCTGCCGTGTGATTGTGGATCAAGCCCGGAAAAGTTGCATGAGGAGTTTGATGAGGGGGGTTTGGTGGATTTGGGACTCGTGAAGGAGGGGTGGCAGGATAAGGCGTCACCTGATAGTCCGTGGAAGCCGGAGATGGAGAAGTTGAAGCGGAGGGCGGAAAAGGCGAGGAGGTGGTTGTTTGAGTTGGCCTCTCAGGGTCAGGGTTCTGGTTCTCCGTCGAAGTCGGCTAAATCTCAGGCTGACTGCGGGGAGGAGGAACCGGAGGAACCGGAGGAGGAAAAGCATATCGTGGTGGTAACCCACGGTGGCTTGCTCCACTTTTTGACGCAGGACTTTGACGGGATGGATTTAAACAAGGGGACCGGGTGGGGGAATACTGAGTGGAGGAGTTATGAGTTTGTTGTTACGGAGGCGGAGAATGTCAGGCTGAAGGAGACGGAGGAGAGCTGGAGGAAGAGAAAAGGGAGTGCGAAGCCGTGGACGGAGACGGAACAGTTGGAGATGATGGCGGCTGTTGATGAGAGGTTGAGGCAGTCGTTTGGGGATGGGGTTAAGAGGGTTGGGGGAAAGAGGGTCGGGGGGGAGAGGGTTGATGTTTAGGAATTGGGATGGGTGGTATAAGCGTAGACTAGAGCTATGGTGTTGGGTTATAGAAGAGCTATTGTTTTTGGTCCTAGTTTGAGACACGTCTAGCAACCTATTTAGACATAAGTAACTGATAGACCGTTGTTTTCAGTTTCATCACACAAGAAAAGACCACTACTTGCATCGCCTTCTCACTTTCCAGAGAATGATTGCTTTCATACTGTGTATATGTCTTCATCTTCATCTCATACACAACCTATGCCCACATAGAGTAACATGCATCTCATAATAATCATTTCATGTACATATCATATCATCTCCGTATCTTATCATCCCTCACCAACATCCAATCCAAGATGGCCAGCGAGTATTCCCGGAACGATATCGTAAACCATACATACATCCAAGCATAAAAGAAGAAAAAGAAAACCCCCGAAAACGCCGTCATAGTGGTGGACCACTGCCACTCTCCTGGCTGCCACTATCCCGCCTGTTGATAACCCAGTCCGGCCTTCTAGTCTCCTAGTAGTTTCCAAGTCTCCCAGTGTGTACCAGTGTGTAGTACCAGTGTGGAGTTGCAAATATAAGATGCCCGCCAGTATATCCAATGATGACTGGGTATCATATACTCGTGTAGTGATAGTGTACCATCAATCATCCCGTGGCTTTCTTTAATGTCCATATGTCGTTCGTGTAGAATATAGACGTGATATGGGGCATGGCCAGATCAAGTTTTGGCTCATGCTTCCGTGTCCGTCCGTTGTTCCATGAAAGTCGTTAGAGATATCGTGTCGAATGACGAGACGATTCCTGTCGTCTGTCTGTTCTTCGATGTTCATCCATCCAGTAAGTAAGCATGAAGCAAACCCAATTCTTAGTTGCGGAACACTGAGCAGCCCGCTGGACAAAACCCGTATCCAGGCTGATAACCCAGACCAAGAAGCTTGGTTGCTTCAAGGAGCGAAGTTGATCTCTTCTCTCTCTTTAGAAGCGAAGTCTGATCCCAAGTCCATCCAGCTTCGTTCTTCCCAGACCAATGCAAGTATTGAAAATGCAACTTTTGCACTTTTTTGCGCGTGCATGCACTTCACTAACGCCCCCTCGAATGCGAATGCTCATCATCATCCGTCAAGCTGGTGCTGCTCCCGCTCGACGAGGTGGTCACGGTGCCGTGGGCCTGGCGCGCGACGCTGACGAGGCGGTAGATGCCGAAGGCGATGGCGGCCAGAACGATGAAGAGGACGATGATGATGACGGCGATGACGTCGTTTCCCTTCATTTTGGGCGATTTGTGTTTTGGGGGGTTCTTTCGGGTTTCCGGGGATTTGTTTTATTTGAGTATTGGTGTTGGGTTGACTCTGTCAGTCTTTGGTGTTTGTTGTGGGCTTGGAAGTTGGGATTGCCGCCGGCGGAAGTGGTGATGTTGTTGTTGTTGTTGTTGTTGTTTGTGTAAGTAGTGTTTGAGATGAATGATCAGATGTAACGTGACGGTTCTTCTGTTAAATCTTGTTAGCTTCCTGGAATTTTAGCTTTTTCTTCATATCCGCGTATTGGTCGTGGAAAGCCATCAAGTGATGGGGGGATATATTGTGCCCTTGTGATCGGACTCGCGCAAACTCACCCAAAGAAGCACGTCGCTATGTGTTCGTCTGAAGATACCGAATTGGAGATTGTGGTTACAGGGAAGCAGCCTGACAGAACAATCCAGATCGCGGAACTTTATAGTTGGGGTTTATTTTAAGCTTCCGCCGTTCAGACCGCTTTGGCGCTGAAGAAGAAGCTCTTCTCCGCAACCGATGCTGGCTAATGCAGGTGTTGTTGACTTATCAAAGTTCGTGATGGGATGGCGGTATACGTTTCGTCGTCGTCTATGTGGATTCCGATCGGCCTCTCTGCCTCTGCCGTTACTTCCTTTCTCTCAACTCAGTTGTCTTTGAGACCCGTTTGTCGAACTGTAAAATGGAGAGAAGAGAGGAATGGAAGCAGTTTGGCAAGACAGACGGACAAGATCAGCTAGGAAAAGCGGTATAGCATCGATCACAGTCGCATTCCAGTTCCAAGCAGCGCGTGGTAAGTGGGCGGTGGGCGGGCAAGCAAGAAATAGTCACATCTGCCCAATTCACCCCGCCACCTTCTTTACCATTTGCTTACAAGCATTTCGTAGGTAAAAAGGCCTACCTGTAAGGCGCATCGTAAGTGGTCTCCGGGCGGAAAAAGAAGAAGGCTGGTAAACACCGGAGCGTCGTACCTTGCGGGCCCCGCCAAGTTTGACGTTAGGGCGCGTCCTCCGGTTGGCGTTCGGTCGACGTTGGTCGAGATGGACAGGGGTGCATTCAGTTGGGCTGGGTGGACACGGGCCACTCATTCATCCGCATTTAGAAACATGGAAAGCTAGGAATTGGTCAGTATGGTCAGGTACTTGGAGCTGTTACCCCTGGGCTGGAGCTGACGGGAGCATCTTCAACATGTGCAGATCTGTGTAGGTTTCCAAGGCAGAACTGTGTGATGGAATTCCAGATCCTAACCATGTTATTGAATTACGTATGAGCTGGTAACTGGAAGATGCTAAGCCAGTACATCCGTGACTTCAAGATCATGAGTTCTGTAGGAGTACAAGATGTTCTCTGCTCCCCTTGAGGATGGTCTAAGTAAGAGGCAACACCTATTCCAACAAAAATTCAGAAAGGGAACAGCTATTTTCCTTGAACGCCGCACCCAAATATTGCTATGCCTCGAATGAATCCTCGACTGCACTCCGTTGTTACACGCGATGATACAGGCCGTTTTGATCCGCCACTCCTTCAAATCACGATACCGAAGAATAAACTCGCCGGGAAGTGGTGTACTGAATCCGCTTTAATGATAGAGAGCGGCGAGAGTCAGAGACCCCCCTCGAGCCAACTCTTAATTTCAGCGTAATATCTTAAGTACCTCCACCAGACACGCGTTGCGACAGATAAAGAATAAAAAGACGACAGACTCAACTCGATTGAGATCTTGATGTGAAACAAAAAGGACTGAACAGCCTACATGTCTCCGGAACAAAGCGTGCCGAAACCCAAGTTACATGCTGAAAGCGCTTTCGTGGCGCAACTGAAAGGTACAGGTAAATAGAAGTGTTGGCGGCCGGTTGAGCAGTGGACACCTCGAATCGGCCATGGCCAGTCCGGGGCCTGACGATTAGGGTCCTATCCCGTTCGACCTTTCCGCAAGTGGTGAAGGGAGTGGTGTGCGGCGGAAAAAGAGGAAATGACGTAGCGGTATCATTTCCGTGCATGACGGTCACTTCTGAGCCGAGCAGGAGGGAGTTTTGACTGGAGCTTGTCGGGAAGAGCTACCTCGGTACTCTATTGCGAGACGCTGGCCTCGCGATCCTCCGAATCGGGATCCCTCTTGATGATCCGTACATGGCGCTCATAGAATTGCAACATCTGGGTAACACGTGGTCAGTCAGTCCTATCCCCAAATCAAGATTAATGATCAGCGCATACCTTCTGCGGGCACCTCTTGTAGATGACACTGGTTTCATGTTGCGTCTTATGCCCGTTCTTCCATGTCAGGTACACCATGAGCTTGTGAGTCTCCTCGTCCTCACAGGCATCCAGCTGAGCGATGTGCTCTTCCCAGCTTCCCGCTGGAGGCTTCCAGGCGGCGTTCTTAGCGGTCTGGGGCTCCTCAGAGTTGAGAGGATGGTCACCGTTCTTACGTGACCTCTTGTTGCTGCTCGCCTGGGGAGTTCCGGAGTTCGAAGAAGGGCGGCCGCGCTTTTTGATCTTCTGCGCTGCAGCAGAGGCCTCGAAAATCTTCTCCCGACCGCCAATCTTCACAAAGTACTCCTTGAGCCTCTCCGACGCGCCCTCTCTGTGAAATAATGTTATATTAGCAAAACAGAACGAGTCAAGACCCAAAGGGTTCGCGATCCCTACATCAAAGTGTCCTCGGGCTCCCAGGTCTGGTCAGACTTCTTCTCATAACCCTCCCATTTCACCAGGAACAGTGGTTCGTTCTGCAGTTGCGTGTTAGTACCGCGCGCTAGATGTGTTTCGGTGCAGCAGTGTAGCGTACATCGTCATTGAGCATATGGTCGAGGATTTTCTCGACGACGTAAACGTCCTCCTCCTCCCCATCACCTTCCTCGTCGTCCTCACCGCCCTCCTCGGCGGCATCGCCATTTTGTTCCTCGTCCTCGAAGTCTTCAGGCTCCGGGATGGTGTACTTGACGGACTTCTTGTCCTGCGATTGCTTCTTGCTGCTGGAGGTCGCCGAGCGAGTGTCAAGCTCGACATCGGAGGCGGCCTCCTCGTCGCTGAGAGCCGATGGGTCGTAAGGCATTGTTATGTCGTTTACTTGAGTGGACTTGCGTGGATGTGGAAGAGTGTGTTGTCGCGCCGCGATCTGAATGGGGAAGGCTGATAGCGGGACACGGGGGTGGCGGGCGCGTCGCGAATTCGGCTGGTTGGGGTTGTTAAGTGGCAGGTACAGTTGATTGCGCCCGGCAGGTAAGTACTCTCTGAAATGCCGAGAGCCCAGGACTGCAGCTTGGATGTTCAAACAAAATGCTGATCAAATTATGAGATACCTCTACAAGCTACGCCCAAGATTGACTTTCGCTTGAGAGGGTCGTGATAGGCAGCGGCTCTGCGTGAACGATTATGAACCTGGTGCAGATGTTCTACTACAGTGGTGCGCGAACGGGAGAGATTCGGACAGACCACTGAAGTGTGCTGGGATTCTAGGCCTGCATAAAGTGTCGGAGCGCTTCTGTTCTTGCCCGCCGCGCCGACGCGAAAAAATGGGGAACTGGCAGTGAGGCTGAAGATCCAGCGGCTTGTGGCGAGTGTTCTGCACGTGACCTCGCGTGAGAGGATTCGGAGTCAACTTGTGGCTGAGGGCGATGCTGGTTGGTCAATCCCGAAAGTCTGGACTCAGCAGATCATTTGACGACTTGGTGACCTTGCGCAATGATGTGTGACCCAAGGACCTTCACCTTCACAGATACATGATAAAGTATATACTGAAAGAGGAAGATGATGAAGGAGGAAGAAGCACCACCAGCCCAAAGAAATTTCCAACAGTTGTATCTTTCGGATTTCGTTTGCTCAGCGAAGGCAAGTGCGTATGACTTACAATCAGATAACACCCGTTTGGTGACGTCAGACGAATTGACAGAAATCATAAGTACCGAGTGTAATCTTTGCACAGCGGCTCCTTCCAAACAGAAGGTTCACACTTTCCACTTGGATGAGATAGGCGCTCTGCTTGTAATTTCCACTCGGGCAAGAGTGTTCTCGGATGAAAGTATTCCCTTGTTCTCAGGCAGCGTCAGAGGACTCTCAACAGACCGTATCCTCGCAATCAGAACCAAAGTTCCGTCTCAAGCGCACCAAAACAGAGCAATCACTACATGAGATGACGAGCATCTCGAACTCTCAGAAGCCGCCAATGCCAAGCTGCCACTTTTTTTGTTCTCCTTCTCTCCGTCGAGCAGGTGGCAGAATGCACTACATGATAAAAGGCGCAACCAGCTGCATGTGATGGAACACAAACCGCATAGGACCCTTTCAGTTTGCCTGATGGCACCAGTCTTTGTCGCGCTAAGTGTGATGCCAATATGAAGGGTCGGTTTCAGACTTCAAAAGGCAATCGTATCGGAGGATGGACGAGACAGTTGACAGCATCTCAACACAGAATCTTGCGTAGACAGAGTGATAGGAAACGGGCTCATCAAATACGTTGTCTAGGTCTGGGTTTGGATAGGTGATGTTATTGATCAACCGGCTGGCGCTAAAACGCGGGTCGGATGGCTCGTGCCCGAATGGGCGAAGAGACGGAAGGACTGAGCCGCGATCGATCGCGTTGATAGATCGGGGTATTCCCAAAGACTTTCCAGAGTATAACCTATCAATATTCCGATATATGCACAGCAGTCTCCTTTCCAATGATACGAGACGGCGTCAAGTATTGCAATACCTAGGTAGGTGACAGAGCTGAGCTCAGCTGTGTTCATGGACCTTGGGTTTGGTCGAAACAAGTGCAATTTGGCGATGCATCTTTGCGCAGATGCAATTTCACTGCAGGTACCGCGCCCCGGTCCCGGATCTGAAAGGTACTATGCCTTAATCCCATCAAGTAGGAGAGTATATGTCGATGCGAGTGAGCGATCAACAGCATTGCCTTCGTGACAAAAGAGTCTATTGAGCATCAGGTAGCCTAGCTCGAAAATGGGAAAGTGAAATAATGCCAAGCCCAGACATGAATTGCGTACAGAAAAAGATACTATGTTACTGCGCGGTCTAAGAGCCCTTGTCGGCTTTTAGTGTACAGTACCCCCTATACTGTGCGGAAGGATCAGAAAAGAAACTGAGAGGTTCAGGTTCCCGTCCCCAATTAAAGTTCATGAATTGTACGCGATATCTCCAACTTGTCAAGTTTTCCATTTCCAACTTCAAAGTCAGTCGGGACCCATTTGCTGGGACAACTCTCATCACCTTCAGCACATCCTCCTCACCCAGCCATGTTCGATTCTCTTTGCACAACAATACAGGTGGATGATTTCTGAGCGAGGCAGTTCCAGTCCTCAACCATCGACAAGACAATATCACCAAGGTCCTCGTCCTTACTTCACCCACAGCTTGTTACGGTGCGCGCATATCGGATTTTCGTCACATTTGGGCCCGATCATCCGGCAGCTACTGCGCATTCATCCGATAACTCGCGTTGAGGGGCTGTATCCTTCGCTCGGAGACAGCGCAACAAAATTCTCACCGGAGCGCCGTGAACTGCTTCCGAACCCCGAGATCAGAGGCTCGGATCCACCTCCGACTTGCCGGATTTCTCAAGCAACAAAGCGCTTCTCTCCACCAACGCTGCGCAATCTCAATTGCCCGTCGCGCAACAGCTCCATTGTTACAGTAACTGAAGCTCTTTCATCTGAGCTCCGACCCCGAAATCCCGGGACTCCATACCTCACTTACAGCTCCGGAAGAAACTCCGCATCTTCGGCACCGCCACCGGCACCAGCACCGGCACCAGCCCGGGATTACCTCACACAAAATGGCCGAGACAGAAACACCAGCTCTCTCGGTTGAGTCAAACCCAAACACCCCAAAGCACGTCAAGGACAAAAAGTGCCCTTGGTGCGGCCAACCATTCACTTCATCCTCCCTTGGCCGCCATCTCGACCTCTACGTCAGACCTAATAATCCCAAAAAGCCTGACGGCATTCACGATGTCATGGCTATCAGACGCCTTCGCGGAACGATAACTAGGAGGAGAACCAAGGGTACCTCCAGGCGACGAGACGCCTCAGCATCTGCTGCCGGCAGTGCGACACCGGGAGCACCCTCCAAGGATGGCATCAGTCCTGCCCCCTCCGATGTCGTCCAATCTCCGGCTCCGACTCCCGCCGCCACCCAGAGCAACCGGGGAAGTGTGAGAACGCCGTTTGGGAGGAATTACCCCTTCAACACCCCTTGGGAGGCCACCGGGGTTATTGACTTAACCCAAAGAAGCAACGGCGTTGCTTCACATCCAGAAGAGAGGCAGGCTCTCCCAGATGGCCCGAGGCCGCTGGCTCCTGTACCACCACCGCCGCCACCGCATACGTCTTCTTTTGTCCAACAGCCTTTGCATCACCAACCTGATCCGAGGCAACTGATTCAAGATGCCCAGGATACGGCGAGAGCGGCCGAGCTTGCCTTGCGTGAGATCGTCGGCTCCTGGAGGGCTGCCAAGTAAGTTGTTCTTTTGCATTTTATAGTCCGGCATGGTGCTAACATACATCTGAAAGGTTACATATCGATGTACATTCGATGCCCTTTGACTTTGACCCTTTAACCCTGGATTTCCCTGCACTCGTCCTCCAATGCCTTGAACCACCACCCACCATCTTCTCCTCCACCTTCTACCCAACCTCCACCTCCTGGTCCATCCAGCCGCCCGGATGGGACCAGTTCAAAGCCCTAGAGAACCACTTCCAGGAAGAGTTCAAGAAATGGCGCCTCAACTGCAAGGCCGCCACGACCGCTTTCAACGAGGACCTCAGCTACCCGCCGCCCGTTAACTTCGTCAAGGTGGACATCAAAGAAGCCATCCGGCGCTCCGAAAGCATCAACAAATCCCTTGAAAAATCCGTCGCGGAGCACCTGAAGAAGACCTTCGGCGTCTGGGAAGCCTTGAGCCAGTTCGACCGCGAAAAGATGTGGCAGCTCGAGCTGGCGCGCAGCGTGGCCCGCAAACAAAAGGAGATCAATGCCCTGAAAGAGGAACAGCACCGTGTCCGGCAGGAGAACAACAACCTCAAGCAGCAGATCGAACACCTCAACATGCTGCAGCAGCCGCGCGAGTACAAGCTGCAGACCCCCGCCACGTTCCCCGCCGAGAAGAAGCTGATCGATTACATGTCTGAGCTGATGGTCGTTCATAAAGTCTCTGGCGTGGGAATGGAGCCTAAGGGTCGCCATCATGACCTTAACACCGTTTGTAAGGAGGCTATCGATCGCTGGAAGAAGGTGGTGCAGTCTGGTCGGCAAGGCCCACCGGCACCTCCCCAAGGACAGCAGCAGCAGCAGCAAAGACCGCAAATAACTGGACCGCCGCCAACGCTGCCACCACCACCGCCGCCGCCGCCGCCGCCGCCTCCGAGTGTGCAACAAAATGGGAGCATGCACCACCAGTCCCACCACCAGCCCCAACACCAGCCTGTATACCAGCCTGTATCTGAACCTCAATTTCCTCAAGCCGCGTCTGTTCCTGGTGGTGGTCCCCCCTCGCATAATCCTATTCAAAACTACTACTCAGCGGTAGCAGCTGATTACGCCGCGAGGAACTCTTCAAGCTCATCAAACGCAGCTCCACAACAATCTCAGCAGCAGATGAGGGACAGGGACGAAGATATAGAAGCTGTGAGTGACGATGAGGATGATGGTGATGATGGTGAGGAGGGCGAGGAAGGAGATGATGGCGAGGAGGACGAGGAGGAGGGAGACGACGAAGACGCCGAAATGGCCGGCACAGAAGAGCCACAACGATCGCACAAACAACCACAACGGCAAACTGAAGGCTCAACAGGAGGTACTGGTGGTGGTGGTGGTAGTGGCAATGGAGCAGGCGAGCCGATGAGCACAGACTAGAAGTCTTCTCACTCTTCTGAACGTCGGTCTCCCGGGCCTCCCAACCCAGAGCCGGGGATTTTGGGGTGGAACACCGGCCTGCTCGGGTGGCATGGCCCGCCGCCGCCGCCTTCCGCTCGTGGCATTGCAGTCCGAAAATATTGTGAGGAGAAGGGTATTGGTGTGTGGCACTATTGCTGCAAGAGTCCACGAAGATCGCGGGCCTTACGGTCGGGGGGCTTTGAACCGGTCTGAATAGTACAATAGTGCCAGTAAGGTGTGGGCATACCTAGACATCTAGGCACCTAGGCCTTGCGAGTTGGGTCGCTTTGCCTAGTCGAGATATGTAAAAGATTGGAGGGGGGGTAGGGAACTGAATGTACAGCAATGTATTGATAATGTCAATCTGAGACGCGAGCCGGGAGATGGAGATGGAGATGGAGATGGAGATGGAGATGGAGATGGAGATGGAGAGGGAGAGGGAGAAAGCGATCTGATTTTGCTGCATCTCCCATCAATCGGTCAATTCAAGTCGGGATCAACGTGCCTTCTTTACGTATCTGCAAAAGCATGTACATCATGACCAGCACTTGGATGATGTTTGGAGTCAACGCCGCTGAGTTCCACACTTTAAACTTTTATCTTGTTGAAGACCAGAATTGCTGTCTAGAGTTCATAAAGAAGGAAGTAGACAAGGAAGGGTATCCCGGAGCTGAATGGCTTGCTCGCTATCTCAACTGAACTCGCTTGGGTACCTCTTTGAGAAAATCAAAAGGACAAAGAGTACGGGCTGGCTGGTCCGTGACGTGCGAAAGGGTATCTATCATTCTCAACGCACGCTGAGCTGGGCTGGAAAACAACAACTGGGGTGGTTGATGTGAGATTACCATCCAAAATCATGAGAGCAGGTTAATTCATCAACCAGAGCGTAACGCCAAAGGGGGGGCCAAGCAACAATGAGTAGTGATGTGATGATTAATGTGAACGAAACCTCCCTCCCCCTTCCTATCCATACTGCGGGCGAGAGCGCGCGCGCGTGAACCAAATGGCTTGAACCAACAAAGAGAAACCCCCCCTTCTTCCACCTATAGTAAAGAAATATCATTCCATCCATGATCTGAACCTTCAGGTTCATGTTCATTCATTGCCCGAGAAAAAAAAAAGCCAAAAACCCGTAAACGCCATCTACCCGCTTTCTCCGCGTCAAAATCTTTCCTCCTCTAAGATCAAAGATCTCGCTCTTCTACTTTTCTTTCTAAGATTTGATCGTCATTTCCAAAAGAGCAGATCATCCTCCTGAAAATCAGATGCCTCATGCTGTCATGCCACGCTGCTCGGAGGCATAACCTCGAGCACAAAGTTGTTCATGTCATGCGTAGAAGGCCAGCATGCGAGCATCTAGCTCTGTTGTGTCGTTCCCACTTGCTCGGCCGAGCTTGAAGGGGTATTTGTCCCGTCGGCGACTGTTGGCTTCTCCTTCTCCTTGTCCTTTCCTCCTGTTGATGAGGAATCGTTGTTCTTCTTCTTGCTGGACTGTTCGTCGTGGAACAAGCCGTGCTCTTCGATGTACTATATACATACCATCATTAGGGTCAAAATTCCGACATACTAGCTAGTAGCGGGGGAAACACAAATAATGGCATACCTCAACAACAGGATCAGGAATGAGATATCGCACGCTCAAATCCTTCTTCAGGAAAAGACGGACTTTGGTGGAGCTAAATGTTGCGGTAAGACAAGTTTTGCGTGTCAGTCAAATTGCCACTAGCTCAACCCGATGGTGTGGTGGTACAAGGGTCCCCTAAGGGTCCCTTCCTGGCGGGATCGACGAACCTGATGTCATTTTGTATCACCTGGCTGATGACCCAAATGTTACTTTCGTACTGCCTCAGCGTGGCAAGCGCCTCGTCGATATCGGTTCCCGAGCGCTCAATGATGAAGGCGCCGTACTCCCCGAGAATGACTCCCAAGTCGACCGGCGACCAAAGCCCGGGCTCTCCTGTACAAAGGGTCAGCTTGTTGTGCAACGATACACGGCGATATCAACCACCAACTCCGTGGTGACGTGTGGGAGAGAAGGCTTTCATACCCATTGACATGACCAAATCCGCGCCAGCAAGAAGCGCAATCTTGGCCTTCCTCCGCACACCATCGGTGCCCTCAATGCCGCCCAGCACGGTGTTGATTTCGTGGTCGAAGTGTCGAAGCACCCGCGCTGTGGGCACGTAAGCGGGCTCGCCGTTTTCGTCGCAGTTGACCGTCTCGAAGGGGTCGACCATTAGCCAGGATGATTGCTCGACGGCGCGGGAGCACATCTCCACGCGGTGATGGCCGGGCGCTAAGCCAGCCTTCTTGTAGGCGTCGCTGACGGGGGAGAGGTAGCCGCCGCAGACTTCAAAGCTGGTGTTGAATCGGACAAAGTCGGAGGCCATTTCGAACATGCGAAGGTGGAGGAATGTAATGGCTGCAGGGAAAGAGGGAAACTGTTAATAAAGTCCTTTGGGGAGAAATAACGTATGCTCTTCGAGAACTTACGGGAGAAAGAGCCGCAAGCTACGAGGACCAAGGGTGTCCTCCCAGGCTGTGTCTGCCGGAGCTTCAGCTTGGCCTGGGGAAAGGTATAAGGCACCATGGTGTTGCCGGTCGAGGCTTGCTCGGGAGGAGGATAGGTAACGGGAGTCGCCATGCCCGTCGAAGGTTGGGAAGACATGGTGACCTGTTGTGATGTGTGATATTCGTAGGTGTCGTTCGTTCGACTAGGTAGATTGCGATACTAGGTACCGGCAGGGTCGGGTGTCGCAAAGCAATGCGTCCCGGGAGACGGGTGACGCAGCTGGGGTGGAATGGGACGCTCAAGGCGGCTTGCCGTGGATGCGATGCGAGATGATCCAGCGGCCAGGGCGAGAGTGTGCTGGGACGGAGGGACCACAATGCGGGGTGACCCAGATGTTGTATAAGCGACGGCGGCGGATCTTGTTTTGACGAAGATGACCGGGGGGGTTAAGCCGTCAAGGCGGATGTGCTGATGCAAGAAGACAGTTGCCGAAAGCCGGATAGGTCGGTAAGGTGTTCGGGAATAAGATGCGTCTTGGTGTGTATTCCAATGGCGAATTGCACGGTTCGAGAGGTCACAGTTCTTCCAGCGAAGTCGGATTCGAGGGTATATTTAAGGTACCTTGGGTAGTTGTAGGTAGTTGTCGGCTCCGATGCGTCAGGTATTGTGGCCGAATTGACTTGACTAAGAGCCAGGACGGGCGCGCGAGTTGGGCGGTGGGCGGATGGTCTGAACTTTTAATCGATTTGAAAGCAGACGGGGAAGTGTGTGACTGTGTTGTATGCACAGATGCAGGGCGACAGCGATGGCTTGAATGATGAACGGACCCTTTTTATTTAAGATGGAAGAAAACGACGACAACGGGAGGCGGCACAGGCAGTTATCAGCGCGCGGGGTCCAGGTCGAGCAGGTAGGAAGGATCGCCAATTGGTTCAAATTATATACCAAAAAGAGGGTTGTTGGATGATAAATGTCAATTCCAGAGTGTTGGTGATTGCCGCGCCCGCTGTCGGCGGCGGGGGCATGGAAAGGCTTTGCGGTTGCATTACCACAATGACCCACTCTCTGCTTGTCAAAAACCACTAAAAAAACGCAACCCACTCGGCGACTCCTCTCACGATCCTCAATTGCAACCGACCCTTGCACTTATCCATGGTCTCTTTTTCGACCTGCAGGTCTGGATTTACAATTGGCTGTTTGAGTGTTTGGTACCTTTTGCCTGGGGAAGTGGAGGCACACGAGACACCCACCGGTCGACCATCGTGACTCCAGCTCCCGCCGTCAGTCCTCCCGTGTTCCCGTCCTTTGTTCAATCTGACAGTGGGGGTACAACAGAAGCCTGGAGAGCGCCGAAGGGCTCAGAGAGCAACTCATAGTGTAGGCAACGATGGTTGATTCATGGCATGCGAAGCTGTGACGGCTAATTCGTCAGCGTCGGTATGTAGTCACCAAGACTGCTGACCGATGACGGAAGCCGAAGAAACCCCAGGATGCGAGGAATGGAACTTCGGCATAACATATACGGGAGTCTCCGATTAGAGGGCACATTGTTTTCCACCTGCAGGTGTTCACGGTCATTCGCGGGACTGTGAGCATATGAGCTCTAGAGACAGCTACTTTTAGCTGATTCTCGCCGTTTTCATATTCGATCCTCCCAAGCGTCATCAGCACCTATACACAAACAAGCAAAACGTTGTATCAAGCAATTAACCTTTTTACGTATACAATACACCCACCCACGTTGCTGGTCGGCGTTCTACATACCTCTAGTCGAAAAGTTCAACGGGTCAGCGACGGGATTATCCTTCAAATGCCGAGGAATGTTCGGCTTTCTCTCGCAGTGGGGCAACCAGGCACTGGTGCGATTCACAAGCCAAGCTCCCGTCTCTTTCTGTTCGGTTTATTTGCGGAGCAACTGATTTCTTTATGTCGAGTTGTCCTCAACATCAGCCTGAACAGTTGGACACCTCTTCGACGCTGTGACTTTTATGGACTCCTCACCATCATTGCTGCCTATGACAGCTCACTTCACTTTAATCATCCGTGCGGAATACGCACGGCCTGTCCTCTTGTAGCCCCAAGTCCAACACAATGCTCTTGTGACCATTATCTCGGGGTTTCTCCATGAAGCCTACCATTACCAATCATTTGGCTTCAATTCCTTCTACCGAACGAGCCGAATCGATCGTCACCGCTCTTCAATCGATAGTCCGCACGATATGATCACATAGCTCACAAGAAATATTGGGATGTCGCTGGAGCTGCCAGATGAGAAGAATCAATGCGCCTGACGTGAATCAGCAAAACGATTGGCAGCTGGCGGCGATAAACATCGGTCATCGATGTGATGGGGAGAGGTCCCGTTTGATATAGACATGTGGTCTGTGCGTTTTGTCTTTTTCGGTGAGCCGGTGTGTCGGTGTACACACCGAAATACTTGGTGCACTCCGGAACTTCTCTCTTTCACCTTGCAACGTCTGTTGTCGGCCAGAAACGACTGACCATCTCCTACATGGCCGCCGACGCAGCTCCTTTTATTTAGAGCATGAAAAACATGCTTTCCGAAATCGGAGAAGGTTTCGCCTGATTTCCATTGCATCTGCACTTTTTACTAACAAAAACTCTGTAGTGTTTCATCACCAGATGCAAGCGCATTCCGCATTCCTGCACTATATAAAATCGTTGACCCCGAATCTGACACTCTCACTGCGGTTTTCGGACTTCGTTCTTTGATGAAAGTTCACCATCAAGAGGCGAATTACCAATCTTCGTGGCGTAGCAGATCTCGTTCCTGTTAGAACCGCTCTAGCCATGCTGCAAAGGCAGATACCACCAGCAACGATTCCGGCATATATGTGTGGTTAATAGGCACGCGGCATACCCATTGCAGCTATGAGTTACGAATAAGCTCTTACTCGAAAGCTGCATTCATTGCTTTCACGGACATGGTTCTCCTGAGGTTCCTACGTTCCCTGGAAATATAGTTTGTGCTTTCAGTGGTTGCGTAACCGGCTTGGACAAACTCACTCCCATCTCATCGTTAATGGCGCTCATCGAGGATAGTACGATTTCGAGGCGATGACTTGGCCGAACACTTCTTTCATGTTTTTGTCAAGACTTGGAGAGGGACAGTGGGGAGGATTTGCCGGCATGATTGATGCTTGAGGACTGCAATCGTCGCAGGTTTTTTTTTTATTATACCTTCGACCTGCCTGACCTCTTGCAGCGGGCATATCGGACGGACATTACCTACTTTCCTGATTCCGCGTCAGAGGGTTTGTTTTCAAATGTCAAAGTATATACCTAAACAGGAGTCTCCCGTCCCTTAAAAGGTGCTTTCATCCATTTCCAATTCCTCTCATCACTCTTCATCCACCAAAATCATCTGCGTGCCTCGATCAGACTCAACAACTCTCGATATTGCTACTTTTATCGCGTTTACGTCTCGTCCATCCGTCTCCACAAATACCGACCGTTCACAACGGGGAACAGACACGGCCAGCCCAAGCTCACTTCATCAGCGTGCTACAACGCATCACACGAACGAACGACTTTAGTATCGCTCCTCCCAGACCGTGCTCTCAACACATCAGACCCCTAAAGCCTCTTCTTCTTCTTCTCGCCATCATGGCCGACAAGAGAAACATGCGCGACAAGCGCAAGATGCAAGGACGCCGCCACGCCACGCGGTCAAAGACGCCGTGCAAGACCCCCAAGAACCATCCCATCCAAACCCATCAAGTTCACGTTCAACCTGCCGCCACCGCCGCCACCAAGTCTCCTGGAGAGCAGATCTTGACCAAGTTGTATCTTAAGACCGCTGATGCGGCGCTTGATGCCGAGACTGAGCGCCTCAAGGCCACCATCCAGGCAGACCGTGAAAAAGCTTCATTGCTCTCCTGGATCCCCTTTTCTTTCTAAAGGCACCGCTCATTACGCCAGGGATGGATATGCCCGGTTAGGAAGTCAGATGGGTTTTTACTTGGAGAGCTTCAGAGACTTGTGAGCCTTCTATCATGTCTCAATCATCCACGGAAAGACAATGGCGTTGGACTTGGATTATGGTATTCGAACGACGTCTGTATGACTGTTATTGAATCTTGTCGTTTTATTACAAGCAATAGGAGTGTCGTTCAAGTTCTACAGTGCTGCTTTCCTTGTGGCTTACTCATGGTAAAGGGCCGTTTCTCTTTAAATGCGACTTGTAACGTTTGGAAGGTGCATCTCACCCTGATCTTCCATTCTAGTAGTATTTAGACCTGGCCTGGCGGGCCATTCCTCTTCGCTCATCCAACTGATCCAAGCCACCAATCCAAGCATTTTTCTTCGCCATCAAGTTCACTTCGTGTCAGACCCTGTAACCAGGTTTTCTATGATATCCTACATCACCACCCTGTGATGCATACTACATAACATTGCATATGATACATGCCTGCGGGGAAGATGCTCGTTTTAAGCGTACATCACGAACTGCAAAGCTCACTTGGGTAGAAGATCACGGTAAGTGGTTGGTTTAATGCTGCACGGCGTCTACTTGATAATGAATCAACGTTCAATCATAAAAACCCAAATATCATTAGCATATCGTTCTCGGGAGCAAGTCAAACGTTGTGTCTGTCGAAAAAACGAGGAGTCCTCACTCAACTCGCACCCCCTTTCCAAGTAAACATGTGGCAGTGCAAATAGCCACAGACGGGAGCGTGTGAGCCACACTTGAACAGAGTCAGTACTACCCGCCTACAGTGCCTTTGACGTTTGACTCACCCCGCCAGCCGCCTGTAGGGCAGTCCTTCCCGTCCCCCGTTAACGGCGCTGCCCTGAGACGAAAAAATTGCCCCGCTGTGGGTTCGAGTTTGTCAATTGAATCGCGACCAGTGCCAGTGTCGCCTCGAGAAAAAAACTAGACGTTCTCCCTTGCAACCCGCCCTTTGAAAAGTCGCAACTTGTCCCGGACAGCGATACACACCATAACCATGGCGGATTCGAGTGCTACCACCCCCGCGGCCCCGGCCGAGCAGCTCGCCAACCTCCATCTCGACGAGGTCACCGGAGAGCGCATCTCCAAGAGCGAGCTGAAGAAGCGTCAGAAGCAGCGTCAGAAGGAGGCCGAGAAGGCTGCCAAGGCTGCTGCCGCTCCCCCCAAGGCTGCCTCCAGCAAGCCCAAGAACGCGGCCGGCGGCGAGGAGGACCTCAACCCCAACCAGTACTACGAGATCCGTACCCGCCAGGTCAACGAGCTGCTCAAGAACCCCGAGACCAACCCCTACCCTCACAAGTTCCAGGTCAACTACGATGACTCCAACTTTGTCGACGAGTTCGGCTCCCTTAAGACCGGCGACACCCTTCCCGAGAAGGAGCTCAGGATCGCCGGCCGTATCTACAACATCCGTACTGCCGGTTCCAAGCTGATCTTCTACGGTACGACTTCCTGTTCGTCCAAAACAGACAAGAGCAATGCGCTAACCTGAGTGTGATGCGCAACAGATATCCGCACCTCTGCCGACACCAAGAGCATTGGTACCCGTATGCAGGTCGTCTGCCAGGCTCAGTTGGCCAAGGAGGGTGGTGTTCCCTTCGAGAAGCAGCACGCCCACCTCCGCCGCGGTGATATCATCGGCATCGTTGGTTTCCCCGGCCGCACGAACCCCAAGAACCTCAAGGAGGGTGAGCAGGGTGAGCTTTCCGTCTTCGCGACTGAAGTTCAGCTTCTCAGCCCTTGCTTGCACATGCTTCCCAGTGTCCGCTACCCCTTCGCCGATGCTGAGCAGAGAGCGCGCATGAGGTACCTCGACATGCTCTGGAACGACAGGAGCCGTGAGACGCTTTGGCAGCGCAGCAGAATGGTCCGCTACATCCGCGACTTCTTCCACGAGCGCCGCTTCATCGAGGTCGAGACCCCCATGATGCACGCCATTGCCGGTGGTGCCACCGCTCTTCCCTTCGTCACCCACCACAACGATCTCGACATGGACATGTTCATGAGAGTCGCTCCCGAGCTCTTCCTCAAGAAGATGATTGTTGGTCAGTTCGGCAAGGTTTTCGAGATGGGCAAGAACTTCAGAAACGAGGGCATCGATCTCACCCACAACCCCGAGTTCACCTCTATCGAGTTTTACTGGGCGTACGCTGATGTGTACGACCTGATGTCCATCACCGAGGAGCTCGTCTCTTCGCTCGTCAAGGAGCTTACCGGCTCTTACAAGACCAAGTTCACCAACCAGCACGGCGAGACGTACGAGGTCAACTGGGAGGCCCCCTGGCGCCGCGTTGAGATGATTCCCGCCCTCGAGGAGGCCACCGGCGAGAAGTTCCCTCCTTACGACCAGCTCCACACCGACGAGACCAACGCCTTCCTCCAGAAGATTTGCAAGAAGATGAACGTCGAGTGCCCGCCACCCCTCACCAACGCTCGCATGATTGACAAGCTCACTGGCGAGTTCATCGAGGAGACTTGCATCAACCCCACCTTCATTCTCGAGCACCCCCAGATGATGTCTCCTCTGGCCAAGTACCACCGTTCCAAGAACGGTCTCTGCGAGCGTTTCGAGGCGTTCGTCTGCAAGAAGGAGATTGCCAACGCTTACACCGAGTTGAACAACCCCTTCGACCAGAGACTCCGCTTCGAGGAGCAGGCCCGCCAGAAGGACCAGGGTGATGACGAGGCTCAGCTCGTTGATGAGAGCTTCCTCAACGCTCTCGAGTACGGCCGTATGTATATCCCTGACATGAAGTTGTATTGTATGGAAGGACTGCTGCTAATGCGTGATGTTTACAGTGCCGCCTACCGGTGGTTGGGGTCTCGGTATCGACCGTCTTGCCATGTTCCTGACTGACAACTACTCGATCCGCGAGGTTCTTGCTTTCCCCTTCCTTCGTGAGGAGAAGACTGCCCACAAGGAGAAGCTTGCTGCCGAGCTTGTCGGTGTCCAGCCTCTTCCTGAGGAGGGTATTCGTAAGTGATTTCTGGTGTTTGTGGTAAAATGGTAGATATAGAGACGCTAACTGGCTTGATACAGCCCACAAATAGATGTTTGAATATCATAGCATAGACTAGATGAATGTCAATGGATACCTTTGGATGAATGAACATGGCATGGTTCTGATGAATTTTTTTTTGTTGCTCCTTCAGAAGTGGGCAATGTCGATATGTATACGCTGCAAAAAGTGAATGCAAACAAAATCCTTGAACTCCACAGGAGTGTTCGATCCCAACGGAGATGAATGATATCAACCGGATATTCCACTTGATATCATGATGTTGAAAGCGATGGTCGAGGTGGTGGTGTAGAGAAATGATTGCATGATGTACACACGGGATCTTTTAGGGTTAGGTACGAGTGACGGCATATTTTTTATTTATCTATCTTCGGATCGTTCGGCTCTTTTTCTTGGGCTTCAAAGTTTTGTTGTTGTACATATCCGATCTTTCGCTTTCAGGTTTTAGGCATTAGATATCGTGCAAAGGATTTCAGGTGAGATAGATGATTTTACATTTATCACGCTATGAATTTCGCTGTGCCCAGGAATATTGTTTATCAAGGACTGGAAAGACAGAAGAAGTCCATAAACATAGCTTGCGCTCCTGCATCTACACATCTAGATATCACCCATCATTCGACCCTGTGCGGACGTCCCCAGAAATCACCATCACCATCACCATCACCATCACCATCACCATCATCCTGACCCGATGCGAAGTAGTAGAAGCGACGACGATGCATAGAATGGTATCGGTAACATAAAAGAGAACTCATGCAGAAAATCCTAACAGAAACATACAAGAAGAAAAGAAACCCAAACCAAGCCCCCCCACCCAGGAAACGGTAACGTAACAACGACCCACTCACCTGAGGTAAGAAACAGGATTCCTGTGCACCTCCTTGAAGTGCTTCTTCATGCCCACCACCTCAGCGCGCTTATAAGAGTCCCTATCCCTCTGGCGACCCTTCTCCACCACCTTCCTGACCTCCTTGCTCTCCACGTCTCTGATACCATTGGCACCGACAAGACCTCTCGTCTCACGGGTGATGACGTGCCTTCCGTGCGCCTTGCGGTCTCTGAGCTGGACCTCCGTGTTTCTCCTGAATCTCGGCTCGCCGTCGCTGTCATACTGCATCTCCGCATCTTCGGCATCTTCACCACCGGCGGCCTCAAGAAGGAGCTGCTGCTGGCGCTCCTCGGGCGTGGGGTAGTTGTGCAGGTTCTGGCGGAAGTAGCGGTTGAGCGAACGGTGACCGACAGAGCGGCCGGATGGCAGGTGGAGCTCGTACTCGTCGTAATAGACGGCGTTGACGCCCTTCCTGCTGTGGGCATGGAAGCCGTCCGCCTGGCGGTGGGGACGCGGGTCGTCGCGCGAGTGGTGGCGGTGGCTGGCCAGACGCTCGTACTGGTGGTAGTGGCCCTCGCCGGGGACGGCGTGGAGGTCGTCGGAGTCGAGAGACGAGGCTGAGCTGTCTGTCTCCCAGCCTTCTTCGTCGCCGCCTTCGCCTCCTTCAACCTCGACCTTGGCTTCGCGCTTGCCGCCTAGCTTGGCGCCGCCGGCTCCTTCCTCTTCTTCCTCCTCCTCGTCCTCGGTGTCCCACCCGTCGCCGTCGGAGTAGGTGCTGCGGAAGTCGTAGAATTCGCCAATCTCGAGCTGCTCCTCCTCGGTGGTGTAGGGAATTTGGCAATGACCCTTGTCGCGCATGTGAGTTTGCACGGCAAAGGTGTTGGAGCGCATCTTGCCGCACATCAAGCACTCGTTGAGCTCGAACACACGTCTCCTGAGCGAACCGAGAAGACCCTCCAGATCGACGAGGTACTGCTTCTCGGGAATGAACATGCCGTGTATCCTCTCCATGTGGGTAGCGTTAAGGGCGGGAGTAGGGGACTCGTAGTTGCAGAACAAGCACTGCTTGAGGAGGGCGGTATCGGCTTCGGGCTGGGTAGGGGTAGCGGTTCCGGAGGTCTCGGGTTGTTCGCTAGCAGCAGCGTCTTCCACGGGGTGGTCCTCCTTGTGCTGGTCGGCGGCAGAGAGATGAGGGTTGGCGGGACGGTCGACGGGCGAGGCAGCATCCTCGATGTTGGCCTGCTTGATACCCTCGACAACCTCGTTGAACTCCTCCTCGGCATCAGAATCGACCTCGGACTTGGCCTCCGAAGCGGGCTCGCCCAAGGAAAAAGTCGAGCTCATAACCGAGCTAACCTCGTCGTCGGCCTTGGTGCGTCCAGTGGCGGCAGGGGCCCTCGAGGCCAAAGCAGCGGCCCTCATCTTGTGGTTCTTACTGCTGATGTGGTTCTTGTACGAGTTCTCGCTGTAGTAGGTCTTTGAGCAAGCTTCGCAGGTCATCTCAAAGCTGGCCTTGTCTGTTTGCGCGGTAACCTCGGCGCGGGACTGGAGAACCTTTTCGGTGAAGACCTCGGAGGAAATGGGAGGAAGGGAAGCGACACGGCGCTTGAGGTTATAACGACTAAAGGGCAAGGTCAGTCATGTGCGAAGTCGAGATCATGAAGGTGGTAAGAAACAACATACTGCCAGTCACTGCGCATGTGACCCTTTTGCAAGTCGATGTTGCGGAAAGCGACTTGACAAGTGTTGCACGTGAAAGGATGAGTGGTTCCCTGGTCCATCCTCGAGACATCGGCGGCCATGGGGGCCGTCCTGCTGGCGGAAATAGTAGCCATTTTCGTCGTGTTGCTGTTTGGGGATGGTGTTTGCGACAGAGGAAGATCTCGTGAGGATCTCTTGATGGGAAGAGAGAAAGAGAGTCGCTTTTGTATCAGCTACTCTTTATTAATAATCAGGCGATATGCGCGTGGTCGTAATGCCGGGGCCGTGATGGATTGCCCTGAAGGATGAGACAGCCGGAGGGTTCCTGCTGCTTCTCTTTTGCCACTGGGTCACTCGTTTGCTGGCGAGTGGTGACTGGTGTCTGGTGATGATGTTGACAAGAGACAAGGTCGGTGGTCGAAGTGACTTTGTCGTTTATCTAAATTTTCCAAAGGCGGGTGGACACTTTGGGTTCTGTTACTGCAGTGATAACCCAGCGCAATGGGTAAGGTGCGTCAGTGGGTGGAGGACTAACATGCATCTGCTGAGCAAAAACAAAGCGACGGAAATGTCGAATTTTGGTGGCGGTTTTGCCTTGCCTGCCCGCGGCTCGCCAACACTGCCCCTCCAAAAGTCCGCTAAATCGCAATCTTTTGGTGGGGCAAACAAAGTCCCTTGGAAACTGCGATCGCAAGGGACCCCATTCTGAGCCATTCTGACGAAAGTCCCGTCACGGTGGGAGTTCAATTGCTGAGTCAGACGGCGGGAAACGGTGCCATCTTCAACAGGCATTCTGGGGGAGGCCCGTGCGCTTCCCTTTACGCATGAGATCTTGACGGCGTGACGGTGAGGTTCCTGTGCACTGGCGGCCAGAACACCCCAGCACCACTCAGCAGGGCATCCATTGTCCATCTTCAGCCTTGGCCAGATCCAATCTCCATCCATTCCCGTCTGGGATTCCTTCCACTTCCACTTCTCCAGTACATTGCTATACTAGCTCCTCCACACGAACTCATCAAAAGCGCGGCGACTTGCGACGAAACCGACGCCGATCATCCCGACATCTCGACCTCCCCATGCTTCCATCCGACCCTTGAGCTTCAGCTCCCTTTGCGCCGACGTAACCACTCTACCCGGCGCATCATATTGCATCGCATCACACTTTCTATATTGCTACCACGACAACTCGCTTTCCCTAAATAACGCCGCAACATTGATGTCATGACTCGAGATACTCTTCGTCCAGCCGATGGCAGCCATAACAACAGCCCCGAGTTAGACGTTCTGGCCGGCCTGTGGGAGGAAGCGCGCTTTGCCAGGCTACCATGGGATGCCCCGGAGGAGTTGAGAGAGTTGGTGGAGGAGATTGACAATCCTAGGAAAGTCTACGCTGTCCACAAGGCTAGTCGAAGACACAACTTCCAGCTTCTAGTCCAAAAGTACATCTTCCAACTACGCGAAGGCTGCGGTACCGAAAATTGTACCACGTCAACATGCTTCAGCTGCCGTAGGAGGCTTGCTGGCCGAGCACCCATCCGACGATACAATACCACGAGCGCGAGGACCTTGGCGATTTACCTGGCGAGCCAGGACAATCCTGAGAATGGACTGTGTCCTGGTTTGCGCTTACCCAAGGCACCACCGGCCGCTCTCAACTCGCTTCGTTTCTCACCAGCTCCGAAACCATATCCCACCAAGGGGCCCAGTGTTGCTGGCGACACAAGCTCACCCAAGAATACAGCAGGCGGGAAAGGAAATAGGACACTGAATAATGACAATGGGAAGGACAAGGAACGACCAAAAAGCCCCACCCAACATGCAGAGAAGGCAGGGCCAGGTTTCAGGGTGATAGAGAGGCCGACAAGCAAAGATTATCGATCCTTTGCCGCAAATGTGTTCGGAACCGTTGCTTTCAAGATGATGGAGTGGCTTACCCCGGCTGCCATGGAAGAGATGTCGCGACTTGCAAAAGCTTACGAAGCAAGCGAGCCGACAGTCCCAGTAGATCGCCAGGCTGGAACGCCAAACGCCTCAAAGAGCGGGTCTTCAAGCCAACAATCCGGCGTTGGACAAGCCGTACCGCCCGCTGCTGTTAAGGAGGGTAGGCCCAAGGATGTGGAAACGAAAGGCGATGGGAAGCAAAATGAGGACAATGAGAAAACGGCAGTGAAGGAGGTCAAACCAGCAAGCGAACAGTCAAGTCAACAAGCACATCGCCCTAGTGGTCACCGCCGGAATTCGAGTGCAAGAGTTAGGGCACCATCCGGCCCGAAGCCTAAGCGCAAACTATCGATTGACCATTTCACCACTGATACTCGCCCCAATGGTACCGCAGACAAAGGATTGCGAGGTCTCAAGGCAGCCGGCTCGACACTAACACGCCCCATCTCCCAGCTTTCGTCGGCCGGCTATTTTGACCATGTCAGCTTGGAGAAGATGCCTCCCAAGTCTGCCGATCTGAGACCCAAGGCTGGCATTCGCGGGCAATTTGATGGTTCCAAAAGTAACGAATCAAGTCATCAGTTGAAGGTGGCCTCCGATTCTGGGGCTTCTGGTGTTCAGGGAGAAAGACGAGCAGGTGATATCGAATCCGATTCCGAAGATGATCACATACTGCCCCAGACGTTGTCGAGGCTCGATCCCCGTGTCGTTGACTTTATGTGCGATGTAATACAGGAGGATGGCACCGCCGAAAGCCACGTCCTGGAACCACGAGCGGTAACCACATTTCACAAGGGCTACGCGGACCAGAGCAAGGAGCTCGAGAGGAAGCTTGAACCCAAACGCGCTCGCTCACCCAACATGAAACTGGAATGGAAGCTGTTTGTAGAACAATCTCTCTTCCATGTGTTGAATGATCCACATCAAGCTATCCGATCCTTCACGACAAAGGGACAACTCTACGATTCGGAAACGTTATGGTACTGCATGCTACGCATGACACGAATTGCCCCCACCCTCGTCTTCCATAGTCTGTGGATGGCTGCTGCCAGTCTGTTCGCTCCGCCAAAGACGCTCCAGTCTCTCCGGTCGCGGACCACAAAGCTTTTCCCCAAGTCCGAGAAGGCTCTGTCAAACGAGGAAGCTGGTCGGCTTCTGTCCATTTGCTTACACGCCTTGGTCGCTGCAGCCCCGTTGGTCAATGACGATAGACAGCTGTATGACATGTCGAGAATTAGGGCTCACGGCTTGATATTTGCTGGCAATGGCTCGCCAGCTGCTCAACCCACTGATCTGTGTCTTCAGTACGAGGATGCCTTCTCTGACGAACTGGCCCTTCGTCTTGCCAAACGGGTTCTTGCAGCCATCCCTACACGCCGGTACTTTGATGAGCTGAAGAGGTCCAACTCTGCAGACGATGATACCAAAGAACATGACGTGCTTACACCCCTCTTCTCGCAATTGGATTATTTGAACGAGGATGCCTTGTACATCCTCAACTTCCCCTTCTTGGACCGCACCGTTCATGAGACGCGCGTTCCTATCCTTTTGCTTGACTGGGCAAGAGCTGTGATGATCAAAGAGTGGGATGGTAATCCCGAGGTGCCTGGAGATGGACCCTTTGGTGGTGCCCTGGCCCTCATTGATGCTATGCGTATGTTGATCCCTGACCAGTTCTTTACATGTCATTCGTGACGCTAACGTGCCTCTTCAACAGACAAGAAACGTGAGGACCTCCTACTTGGCGACGTCCAGTTTCACTCCAAGTACTTTGCCGATCGGTTAGACGTAGTGGAGGCGCCTGTCGGCTGGCTTGCGCACGCTTCCACGCGGAAGAAACTACACCTACTAGATTTCCCTTACCTGTTCGACAGCAATACGCTCGTGGGATTCTTCCGCGCCATCAACCTTTCTCGCATGAACCGCTATTACGAGCAATCAGCCTCAATTCAGGAGAGGTTCGAGGTCTACATGGGAAGATCCAGCCCGATGAATGAGCACCACAAAAGGGTCATCTTGGACAAGCTTAAGGTTGCTAGTTCCAAGTACCTTGTCCTTGAAATCAGACGCAATAGGGTCATAAGGGATGCTTTCGACCAGCTGTGGCGGCGAGAGGAGCGGGAAATCATGCGGCCGCTCAAGATCCATCTAGGTGAGCGTGCTGGCGAGGAAGGTTTCGACTCTGGTGGTGTCCAGCAGGAGTTCTTCCGCCTGGCGATGGCAGAGGCATTGAACCCTGACTATGGCGCGTTCACGGTAGATGAGAGAACCAAGATGACATGGTTCCAGCCTGGGTCCGCGGTGGAGGAATGGAAGTTTGAGCTTATCGGACTGCTCATGTCTCTGGCCGTCTACAATGGCCTTACCCTTCCAGTCACCTTCCCCAAGGCGCTTTACGCCAAACTCCTTGGCGAGCCCGTTACCGACCTCGATCACATCGCAGACGGCTGGCCCGATCTCGTCAGCGGGCTTACCATGCTCCTTGACTGGGACGAAAAGGAAATGGGCGGTTCCGTCGAAGACGTGTTTGCTCGCACGTACGAGTTCTCTGTCGAAAGCTTTGGCGAACAGGTGACCAAGCTCATGACGCCTCCGCCTCCACCCATCTCCTCTCGTAGCGGCAAGTCGGCCGCCGAAACGGACGCCTTCTCTCGGGAAGAACCCTGGCCTCAATTCTCCCCCGCCTTTCGGAGACTCAGTGACGCCTCGTCTTCCGCCTCGACCGCCGCTCTCGAAGAAGAAGCACCCCTCGTCACGGCCGCCAACCGCGAGCAGTTCGTGTCTGATTACATCCGTTACCTGACCGATGTCTCCGTCCGCCCGCAATTCGAGGCCTTTGCGCGCGGCTTCCGCACCTGTCTCCACCCCAAATCGCTATCACTGCTCACCCCCTCGCTTCTCCAGTCCCTAGTCGAAGGCGTACAGGAGATCGACATCGCCGAACTCCAGCGGTACACGCGCTACGTAGACTGGGACGCATCCCACCGGAGCGTCCGCGATTTCTGGAGTATTGTTAGGAAGTACGACGACAAGATGAAGAGGCGGCTGCTGGAGTTCGTCACGGCCAGCGACAGGTTGCCTGTTGGGGGCGTTAAGAACCTAGTTTTCACTCTTCAGAGAAACGGTAAGGAGGATTACACTGACGTGGATGAAGAAGATGAAGAAGATGAAGAAGATGAAGAGCCATATACTACCGATGAGGGGTGGGAGGTGCAAGGTGAATACAGCACCGATGAGTATACCTCCGAAGAGGAGGATTTCTGGGGGCAGCGTGAGGAAGAGGAGGATGATGATGATGGAGTTCGTCGTGGCGAGGTCGTCATTGAAGATCGCGGCGAGAACGAGAGCCAGGTTCACGCCCAGCCGGCTCCTGAAAGTTCCATCACCGCCAACAACAACGTCGCGGAGGATGATGCAAGGCAGCAACAACAGGAAAACACACCGCCGCTGCCGCAGCCGATGACGCCAGCGCAAAGAGCCTCTACTTCCCCGCCTAATGGACACAGAAGACGCAGGAGCGAAAGAAGTTCTCATAGTCATCGGTCAAGACGCACCAGTACCCGCAGCGGCAGCGGGGAACAGGAGCAGGAGCATCAGCAACCCAAGGAGAAGAAGAAGAAGGCTCCGAGGTTGCCCACCGCTTACACCTGCTACGGCATTCTTCTTCTGCCGGAGTACAGGGATAAGGAGATGTTGAGGGAGAGGCTGGCTATGGCGTTGGAGAATGCCCAGGGTTTTGGGTTTGCCTGATCTGTCTGTATCTCTTTCTCTGTTTTGTTCGTGGTGGTTGTGGAATAGGGCATGGAGGGGTATACGTAATGTTAAGGAGCAGCGATACATAAGGCGTAGCGAGAAGGTAAACCTGTTGACCTGTTCAAGCGGGTTAACCGGCTGCTGGGATAATTGAAGGTTGGTTCCAGGTTGGTGGGAAGGAGCATGTATATATACGTAGCGGAATGGGAGAAGGTAAAAGCGTTGTTCAATTTGGAATTTGGAACCTTCTTATACTTTAGCCCCCTTTCACTTGCGTACTTTCTCTTGCTGGTTGTCTTTTCCCCTTTTTCCCCGTCCATACCACAATTTCTCACTAAACTACGGTATGTCTTCCTTCCTTCACTCCCCTCCTCTTCATGCCCTCCCCCGGCCTATTCCAACCTTCAGTTTCCCAAACCATGCGGCTAATGACGACTCAGTCATCCTCCTCACCCTTCCACCATCCATGATCAAACCACCTCTTCCTTCTTTCCCATGCGTGCCCATACCACCCATACGAGCGAGCCCCCATCACTCCCACCCCACTCACTCCCCACCGCCAGAACTGTACTCACGAGAACTAGAACCAGACCAAAGACTAAGCCCAAACCCAAACCCACACCCTCACCCGCCCGCCGCCGGATCTTCTGTCACCGACGTAGTAACTGCTGTAGTACCCGCTACCTTGACTCCTCGGGGGCCTGTTCTTGGGAACCTTTGAGTCCTTGATTATGACTTTGGGGTTCTTCTTCTTCGGAACCTTTGGGACTTTTGGGGTCGAGTCCTTGTGTTTGTTCTTGACTGAGTAGTTCTTGACCGAGTCCTTGATTACGACCTTGTCGTCGTTGATTACGGCCTCGTCGGGCTTGGGGTGGTTCTTCATAAACGACGGGGTTTTAGTGGGGATGACTTTGGTGTTGACGTCCTTAGGGTTCTTCTTCTTTTTTAGGACTGAGTCCATGTTCTTGATTGCGACCTCGAGCTTCTTTTCCCAGACCGAGTCCTTGATTGCCACCATGGACGCGAGGGCGTCGTCGAGCTGGGCGGGGGTTTTGGGGGGTTTATCTTCCATTTTTTGGACGGGTTTGTTTTTTTCTGTGGGGAGGTAGGTGTTTGGTGTAATGCCTCAGAGGGTGACGTCGGTTGGTGCTGTGAGCTTGGTAGAGGCAGGTAGGTAGGTAGATGGTAAGGTAGGTGCGATTTCGTGTCTGTCCCTAGAGTTTGCGAGAGAGTGGGAAAAGGGGAGGAGAGTGGTCTTGGACTTATAGCTATGGTAGACGGCCATGGGCCGGAGACGGTGATGGGGGTGATGAGGGCTGGGTGGTGGTGGTTGGGGTGTGTAACGAGAGATGGTGAAGGTGATCGCCCGTTTTGCTGCCATTTGGTTTTGACGATGGGTTTCTCGCGGTGAAGACGTCGAAGGCGGTGATGGACTCCCGGATGGCTGACGGTGTGAACGGTTTGAACGGTGTTGGTGATGGTGCTTAGGTGTCGTTCGGACTGGTTTTCTGCCAATTCGGTTTGGTGGTGTGTCAACGGCAACTTTGGTATCCAGCAGCACGCACCGGTTTCTCGGTTCCATTGTCGACAAACGGGCGAGGATAATCACCAAGCACAACGACCGACCCGCTGATGGTTCGACAAAGAGCTTTTACGCGTGCGCGGGATGATGGGCCCTGTTCGCGGCACGGAGATCGGACCAACGCCGGCGTACAATGCTCTTTGACAAGATTGCGGCAAGCATTCGAATGGCTCATTGTGTGTTGAACGCGCAAACGTAGTCGGCACTGGCTCACGAAGTCTTATATCTGCAGTGTCCCGAAATCCTCGACTCCATAGCCGAGCAGGTCAATACACGCTTCGAAGTGCATAGTCGAGAACAATCCTGTCAGACGCCAGCTTACGCAGTACCGATTTTTCGCTACAAATCATGGAGAACCCGGGTGATTGGCAAGATCCGTCTCTCGCAGTGGCGCCTTGCTTGGATTAGCGAGAAAGAACTATCGTCCTTCCTCCTGGATCCACAGACTGGCAACTTCCACAGCTGGCTTTTCGATATTCTAATGGATTTTGATGTTCACAAAAGGGTTGCAAGAGAGGTCCAGAACAATCCTCAAGCAGAAATTCTAGAAATGCTGGTCAGCCAATGCCACGATGCTGAGGTTATGAGCCGAGAAACCCGTGACTTTCGCAAAATTGTTCTGAGAATCTTGTACCTGAAATTGGATGTTCATTGGCTAGCTGCCTTTGTAAGTAGGAAGAGGCACAAGGAGGCCAAGGGGTTTATCAAGCAGCTTCTGGAAGAGTTGAGGAAGAGACGGCGTGAAGAACGACGGAAGGGCTACGGCAACGACGACGACGACGATGATGATGACGACGCCTTTAAACTCTACAAGCCGATAGCAGTTTTTCTCGCAGATTAAGAAGGGTTATTGGAACAAACCAAGGTGCGCAATTTACCTTTACGTTCTTCTCTGTTTATAAATTTGTCATACGTACGAAATGCTCACCAGAATTATAGGCGAAGATGGAATCGGAGCTCAAGTGGCTGCTATCTACCACTGATCCGAGGGATAATAAAGCGGAAACTGCGAATGTTGCTCAAGGCAGCGAGGGAAGTGTATCTACATCTCCTACAGCATCCTGTACTTTGGAGAATGCGTCCAAGAATGTCAGAAATCCTGAGGCATAGACTGATATGACGGATTGTCTACGAGAGAAGTATATCTGTGATGGGTGATGGATCTGAAACGGGGTGGGAAGGAATGATAGGAGCTTATGGGGGCTAATAACAGCGTTTTGTCTTCGAGTAAATGACCTAGCACAGCCTGGCAATGCTTTCAAAATATATTCCTCCAGGGATGGCTACCCCGTCCATCATTTCTTGTCGGATGGCCGAACCCTCACTATGCCCACACTTGCCAAAGGCACCAACAATTTTGGTGCTATCACTTTTACCGTTACTACCGCTGACACCACCATCACTGCCTTGATCTTAGATACCGCACGTCTGCCTTTATGGAATCTGGATGGACGAGGTTGGTTGTTGTCTGGCGACATGACTGATCTAGGTGTTGTCGTTGCTTTTGTCTAACTTCTGGACGAGTTTCCTTTGGAGGAGGCATCGGTGGTTTTCGGATTATCAAGGACTAAAATAGAAATATGGTGTACAGAGGTGTAAATAGCAACAATGATACTGCTTTTGGAGAACGATTGCTCATTAGTCTGGTTTTAACATGCTGGTGATGCTGGGCCAAGTAAAAGCCCCAGGGAGCTGATCGAAGCATGGCTGAAGCGTGAGTCCCTGATCCCCCAACTAGTTGCGTCATTTGGAAGACATACTTCTTGTCTGACCCAACAGGTCACTCCTATAACTGCGGCTCGTTTGTTCTTTGACTCGGAGCGAAGTGTCGTAGCCGCTTCACAGGCGGCAGGCCGCGCCAACAAGTTCAGGGTAGAATAAAGAAAAGGGGGTCTCGAATCCATCAGCGACAAAGGCGTGGACAGCTCTGTCATAATGGAAGCGAACTTGAAAGGCGCCAAACAATGCCCTGGTAATCAGTTTCTGGGACACTTCACGTGCAACAGGGTTTTTCTTTCTAGGTGTTTGCACCATGGGAAGTATGTCACTTTGGTGAGAGAACCACCCAGCGCGAGGGCTTCGCAAGAGATGCCACGCGTGAGAATTGAAACTGCTTCCTGGGAGTTTTCGACAAAGAATGGGATCCCCTATGGCTCCTGCCGTCAGTGTCAGTTTTAGTTTTCCAAGTGGCGTCGATCGATGTTGCAGTGCCGCCAAAGCACCAACCTGCCGGTCGAGGTATGTGTTGGGACCAAATGCGGCATGCGCGACCCAACAAGCAGCGCCGCGGCATCCTTTGACATGCCGCCCCGCCAGCACAAAGCCAGAACAATGGAAAGACCGAAGCGACAAATTGCCAACTTATTCCCTTGAAAGGTGAGGGTCCCAACCAAGATCATGAATGGGCGTCAACTTGGTGGTTAATGGACGAAACGTGAGGCGATTGATGGATATATGGCTTTTCCGTCCACCATCTCTACGACACTTCCGAACACGCATTTCACCCCGGACTTCGAAATCAGGCATACAAACGCATACAACACAGAGAATTTGCCAAAAGAGCTTGCCATACAAAAAAATTCATCGTTCGTTCTCCGATCAGATTCTCCCTCCATTTCGATACCCCGCGACCTTCGCCTAGTCCGCCCGACCTCAATTTCAACATGTTTTCACTCTTTTCCCACCTTCGGAAGCTCTTCGGGGCAAAACCCGGAGCCGACGAAGCGACCGACGCAGCTGAGACGAACTCAATCGAGACGACCCAAACGGATACTTCCTATTCAAAGGAGGTCGAGCATCATCAACCCATGCCAGCGCCAACATGGACCCTCCCTCTCTGCGGTCCACTCCTCAACAGACTCCTCCCCAAGAACGGTACCCGCAACGCAACGAACTGCAATTATACCAAGGACGACGACTCAAGTTCCTGCGCCAGCAATACTTACGAGAAGGACGACTTCGTCTTCATCAACCCACCTACAGAGTCAGCGGACGCCAACCAACCAAAGCCAAACCCGCTATGCGCCCCCAGATTCAGAACCGCTCCTGATGAAACAGGAAGAAGAACGTTCGAGTGGGATTTTCCAGTGGCAATTGACAATATTATCCGTCCCATAGATATCGCGTTTATCGCCGATCTCTTGGAGAAACTCAGGGACGGCGTCGCGAAGGATGCTCCCATCAATTATTCGACCCGGTGCATGGCGCCCCTGATCAGGACTAGAGTTGCGAGATGGGCGGATGGAGTGATCAAGGAAGTGGATCAGCGTGTTGAGGAGGAGATGGCCAAGGTTGAGAGGATTCGGAGGGAGGCGGAGGGGAGTAAAGAGGATGTGGATGGTAAGGAGGTAGGTGATAAGGAGGTGGATTAGGAGGAAGGGGGTATTAGCACATTGGCGGAGAGGGGATACTGAAGGGGATTCCTGATGGCATTTACTCCGGCGGCCCCAACCTTTGGATAGAGAGGCCCCAATCCCTATCTGGGCCCCAATATTTCAATTCTGGGCACAACTTTTCAACGTAAATTAACATTTACATAGTAATTTCCAACAAGAAACACAGCAATGTCAAACAACATAATTTTATATAGAAATTCGTATATTCGTCTAGATTAGAACCGCCTTCTAATCCTATACGTAGTATTCTTACCCTAAGGCGGAGCCATCCTTGGGGGGCTTATACTACCGACCGCCAAAGTAGATAGAAAAGCGCCGAAGGATCTACTTTCCTCCGAAAAGTCCCGCTTTTCCCGGGCCCGAACGGCCGGCCCTACTGGCCTCCCGGAAGCTCAATCCCCCTCATCGCTTTCAATCCCCCTTATCGCTTTTAATCCCCCTTATCGCTTTCAATTCCCCTTATCGCTTCCAATCCCCCTCATCGCGTTACTCCCCCTTATCGCTTCCAAATTTGGTTATTCAAAGAACTTTATCATTTGGGAATCCACTAAGTAACTGGGCTTAGCACTGACTTACACTGAAAGGGTATTATACGATTACTGTCTGATTATATTAATTAGTTGAAAAAAAGAATTTGCACGTTAAACCCTAACCCGATTGGGGTCCAGATAGGGATTGGGGCCTCTCTATCCAAAGGCTGGGGCCGCCGGAGTAAATGCCTTCCTGATGTTGAACGCGCATCGCAAAGGGATAGTTGGCATGGAGGGTCATATTGTTTTGGGTCTTGTGTCTCCGGGGAGAAAGTTCTACCTTTGCGCAGAACGAATCCAGACAGGGTGCGAAATCTGGTATCGTTCTCTATTTATTTTTGTTGTTGTTTCTCGTGTTATTCCCTCCTGCGATCATCAAAGTCAAAGCCTCCGTTATGAGCAACTTCCAGTTTGTCCTTGTTCATCCTTCTGTCGGACATTGCTAGCAAATTTCTCCTTGACTCGCTCGCATGCTGATACAAGATCCTGCAAGTTGTCATCGGCCCTCATGATAGCACTTTCCATTTCTCTAATCATCCCGTCTAGCTCTGCAAATTTCCGGTTGTGAACATCGAGCAGCTCATCAATTTCCTTGTCTTGGTATGCTTCCAAACCATCCGCGTTGCAGCGTCTCGCGTGCGTTCGAGGTCTCTCAACTTAGCTCGGGCAAGCAGTTTGGCAGCTGGAGTGGCCGGCATTTTCGAGGTGCGGAATCGAAATGTTGAAATACTCCGTACTGGAAGTATTAGTGCAAGTACACAATGTTTTTGTTGTGGGCTCACAGTGAGTGACAGCTGTGGGTTTGGAGTAGAATTCGAAGCAAGAAAGCTTGATTTATGTTGAATCTGATTTCCGCAGCAAGTAGGGTACTCCATGCTTTGTCAACAGAAGCCATAGACTCGCTCATTGCGTCAGCGTGAGTTATCACATTGAGGAGAAAGCCACTGTTACCAGCAGTATAAGCAATGGCAACGTTATGGGCTACATCCTTGAATGAAGCAATTGGACACGAAACCAGCCAGTTTGTAAGCAACGAATTCGTGGCATTTTAGTAGCACGCAAAGATTTGGATGCATCAGAAGGGCTTATTTGCCAGAGACACCCAGGGCGAGTTGAGCCTTGAGAACCATTCCGAGGTGAAGCACTCAGTTTGTAAAACAATGGATGTATCACGTAAGCATATCCTCTCAGTCCCTCAATTAGTTGCTGGATTAGATTATGTGCGTTGTGTTCATTGATTGCGAAGTTGGGCTCGGGGTGTCACAAAAACAAAAGCTCTCCATCAAGATACTTCATCATTCTCACATATCAACATAGGAAAAGCACATGGTATTTCTGCCAGTCACCACCTGCAAATGGAGCATCAATTCCGGTATTTTAACCAGGGAGCTTCATTCTTCAAGTCACGTATCTCGGAAGTTCATCTTCGACCGTGGCGTACTATCTGTTCATGAGTGTCCTGGTAGTGTTCATGCTGACCATGTCAATGTGGAGCCCGCACACAATACAACCAAGACTGGGAAGGAATCATCAAAGCTTAATGCGTCACCCCTGAGTTAATTCCTGCCACTTCTCTCTATGTGTTTACCTGCACAAATGCCTGGCTCTTGCTCTTGCAACCTCTTGCACTATTACTTCCTTCCTTCCACCTGTGCACTGTTCCCAGCGTTGTGATGAGCCTTTCATCACGTAATTGCCCACTCAATTCCCATACTAGGTACCTTTACTTTCCATCTCTCAAGTCCGTTCTAAGAAGCCTTTGAAATCGTCTCCTCAAGCTCCTCTTTCTCCTTCTGAAGGTCGAAAGTTAGTCCATACTCGACGTAACTCACCAAGCGCACAACATTGAAGTAGATCGTGGACACGAGATTGTCTCTGGAACTCTTCCAATTGATCTGCCACAGAAGCTGTTCGGCCATTTTGCCGACCTGCGCGATCATGGGGTTGGAGTCGAGGGCGTAGATACCGATGTCCCGTTCGTATTGCCTGGTGAGTACGGAGGACATGGTGAAGGTTGTGTTGGAAAAATTTGGTGGTATAGTTGGTGTTGATTGTTTTACTGAATGTCAGTGGTGATTGTGATTGTTGGAGTTGGGTCCGAGGCCTGATGCTGGGTTAACGACATTGGGACTGTCGACCTGGACCCCGAGGACTCTTATACACAGAGGTTCTGGTCGGACTTTGCTCGTTCGAGTTCTTCATGGCTCATCCTGCTCTACAAATATGTGATGCATCACTCGAGAACCTGTAAACGTTAACCGTTTGTCGAACCATCTACAGGCAAACCATCATGCCATTGGGATGAGCAACATCTGGATAAGTAACCAACGGTATCGTGTCATCAGATAATCCTACTCGATGGAGCCAAACATATTTCTTGGACAGCGATGAATGGCGGCATCATGAGATTCTCACAAACAACAATGATTGTGGAATTCGACGCAACCTTGTCTGTATAATACATGGAGCATTGCGATAAATCTGCAACAATAGGCCTCCCACTTGCTTTCGGAGCGTCGACAGTCCATGGCTAAAGTTAGTGTACCCAGAAATGCTGGGTTTGACAACTCTCCGGTCCTGGCGCCTTGCCAATTCATTGTTTGACCCGGAGTTTTCTCATTCGACCGGCCGGTTATGCCGCAACCGACTCGCCCAACGACCCGTCAGTTGCCCTCGGCGCCAGCGAGATGACATTGCCGCACATTAAACAATGAACGTTGTTGTTGGTCATATAGAACGCCGCATACATGGAGACTGATGAGCAAGCGCTATGCTTCAAGTGTATAATCACACTGCTTGTTGAAGGTTGTGATCAATGTCGTTGGTTTTGACGACCGATTATCCATTTGCAGAAGAGATGACGCTCTACGCTCGTTGCGCCGAAACTCGGCACGAGATAACACAAATCAAGAGGACACTTGAAGGAGCGCGTTGGCCTTTCAACCTCCACCTATCCGCTTCTTTAGCTAGTGCTGAGGAGAATGGATGTCAGCAAGATCTGGAAACCTACCGAAACAAGAATCCGCCATTCTAGGAAATTTTCAATAACTGGTTCTATGAAATTCATACCCATGGGACTCTTGCAATGATAGATGCAAATGAAGATGCAAAAGAGGACCTCGTCCAGAAGTTAGCGACAGTTAACGAAAAGTGCGAGTCAGGTAAGAAGATGAATGGGTCTGGGTGCAGAAGTGACGGACGCTGACTTTCATTCCTTGCAGCTCGCAAACACCTCGGAGTTTTGAAAGAACGGCTTGAGCAAACATCGGAGATCATCCAGGAGACTTCCTCGGCGTGCAGTGTCAGTTTCCTACGTGTGCAGTGTCACTGCGTGTATAGTTATATCTACCCTCATATTCCTACGCGTGCAGTGTCATAGTAATCCCTAACCTTGTGATATTTCCCTTGGTGTTGAACCAGTATCTGATCTGGTGATAGTTCGTTGGTGTTGAGGGGCAGTAACTGAAATGTGCAAATTAATTATATTATTCTATCTACCCAAAGCAGGTCTAATCGGATCGCTCCCTTACTCTCCCAACTTCTTTCTTAAAGGTCTAAGAGTCCTCCACTTCTAGCTACAGCTTAAGGTACTAACGAACGTGTTATAGTAAGGTACAGTATGTTTCGTGCGGGAAGGCTGTTTCTTAGGGATTACTAACACTGCACGCGTAGGGATATCTGGGGATAGCTTCCTACATATACAGTGTACACTGCACACGTAGGAAAGTGACACTGCACGCCGAGGGAGTCTCTCATCCAGAAGAGGAAGCAGATGGATGTCTCCAAGGAACCCATTCCCGAGGATGACGAGGCAAGCTAATGACTTAACCCAATGAGAAACAGCACAAGAAGCAAAGCTGACATTCGTTTGCCCATTAGGAATACGAGGCTCCCGGAAGGCTCGTTATTGAGGTCAACTTGACCTACAGAAAGATTGCGATCTCTTGGAGTGTTGAGCAACTTCCGAGTATTAAGCAACTGCCAAAAGATTTGCCCACCACCCTCCCAGGCCTTCCTGGTAGCTACCAGGACGACGATTAGATTGGCATGAATTGGAAGGATCCCATGTTTTCCCACATGTCGTGGATAGCCATGGTAGGAATGGGCTCTTCCGAACTCGAAACCCTATGCAGACATCATGGGAACCTTCAGGATGTGAAGCTTGAATGGGTCGCCGAGAATAGTTTATTTTCCATTCCAGCATTCAGAGCGCCGTGTTGACTGCTTAAATTAGTATTTCATTACCTAGGAGTGTTGAGAAAGTAGCTGAAGCTACATACGTGAATGTGAATCGCGGAAGCTGGTGTTTTGTTAACGACCGGGGCGTCGACAGCAAACATGTCAAGGGTGATTTAAGATTCTGCCCCCGACAGGGCTGATACCTACCTATCTCTACCTACCTTGGCCACATCAGCTTGTGTGTATCTCCTATGATCCTACCCCTAGCATACTAGTAGGATTTTGGACGGCTACCTTCTTAGTTCATAAATAATCAGTCCCACATCGTTACAATACGGTTCATATTCCAAATTTTATACATTCTCCAGCCCATCGCCAATGTATGTGGAAATTTCCATGTAAAAGGGATCGTGTCAGTTTGCTAGACGAGTTAGGGAAATGGCCTGACTTACCCGAGAGTGTTTGTCCATACTAAGTATCTGGAGTTTGCTGTTACACATGAGATTGACGGATGACGGATCTGGTACCCCCTGTACATACCCTTTCCCGCTCCCCATGTTCCTGAAAATTTGACAGCCACTTTCAGGCACCGACGAGTAAAAGATGGCAAGGAATAGTGGTGGCGGATACATACCTATCACCAGGACCAGGATCATGTGACCCCCCAGATCCTGACCAGATTCCATGTCGAACATTTTGACATGAAACTCGGACACAAACGGGAAGAAACGTGCCCGATAAGACACCCTTATCTCCGTTTCCTTCTGGGGGTATATGATAAATACTGGTTTGTTTGTTAGCGTGGTCCATCTGCTAAAACGGAAGAGGGGAAGTGTAGAGCCCTCTTTGGCCCATGAGAGCAAAACTGGTCTCTGTTAATAAAATTTTGCCAAAGGCCAAGGCTCTCAACGCCATAGAAGCATCTCTCCGTCTTCCTCAGGTCCTCTCAGCCCTCAAGATACCAGTTCACAGCATCTTACCACTAGACTCTTGGCCGCTTTCCCAGCTTGGGGAGGTTTGGCGTTATCTGTACCAAGTCAACAAACAAACAAACCAGGGCTGGATTGTATACAAGTATCCCACCCGCAGGGTACGATGCTGTTAAAATTGCAAGTGCCGGCGCCATTCCGTCGAGGCGCAAACACCCACGTGTATACGTATCTCGGTCCCGTCGCCGACCCAGCTGCAGGGAACATTCCAGCATTGGTGTCAAAGTTGCATCTACCCTTATTGTCCCCAATGTCATAAAGTCGAAACACGGCGATTTCCCTGTGACTTCTGCACCTGGACGCCGGCTTTCTTGTTTCAGTTATTTACTGACAAAGTCCATGACTGGTGTCGGTGGTTCGAAAGGACCGAAGAATGTACCTTCGCTCCTGACTGAGCATGTTATCTCACTTATATGAATCACCGGATACACATGTTATTAGCATTCGAAAATGGGAAGACCACAAAAGGGAGAGTTCAAGTGTGATCACGAGCGCACTCGAAATCCAGGCCGGTCCTTGAGGATACGAACATCGTGAAGATACAAAGGCTTTCTTGTCCCCAAGTCCCAACCAAAGCAAAGAAACCTGGAATATAAGCGCCAACGTACCTGAATAAGCTCCTTTGTTCCTGCCACAGGAACAATCCCGCTTCAGCACCCAAGTACGCGACCCAGTCCACCCAGCGGCTACTCGAGCATCCACCATCTTCAACTTCTCGCGTACCTAGTCACTCTGCAAAGCAAAGCAACCATGATCTCCCGAAAACTCAGCAGTCTACTGCTACCACTCTCTCTCCTCTCTCTCTTCACCGAGGCAGCAACCGCCCAAAAAATCGGCACTGGCATCCCCGAAGTCCACCCCCGTCTCCGAACTCAGAAATGCACCCAATCCGGCGGCTGCAAAACCCAGCAGACGTTCCTCGTCAGCGACGCCCGGCACCGGCCCTTCCACAACACCGAAGGCGAGATCGTCGAATGCTCCGCCGCCAACAAGACACTCTGTCCCGACGAAGCCACCTGCGCCCAGAACTGCATCCTTGAGGGCGTGGAATACGGCAGCCTGGGCGTGTTGGCGAGCGACACGGCCGTGACGCTGCGCAACTACCTCTTTGACGGGAAGGAGCACAGGGGCATCAGTCCGCGGGTGTACCTCCTCGCGGAGGATGGCGAGAACTACGAGCCGATCAAGCTGTTAAACCAGGAGATCAGCTTCCAGGTGGACGCGTCCAACGTCGGGTGCGGTATGAACGGCGCGCTGTACCTGTCCGAGATGGACTTTTCAGGCGGGAGGAGTAAACTCAACCCGGCTGGGGCGAAGTATGGGACCGGGTACTGCGATGCGCAGTGTCCTAAAAGCGACTTTATCAATGGCGTGGTAAGCGAGAAGCCTCCCATACAATTCGTTTTCGTCTCTTCTAACTCTCTCTTTCTGCACCCCAGGTAAACCTTAATTCCTCCCGCGTTTGCTGCAACGAAATGGACATCTGGGAAGCCAACTCGCGCGCCACGACCATGACTTCGCATCCTTGCAATCAGACAGGCCCCTTCCTTTGCAACGGTGATGAGTGCGAGAAGTCAGACAAGGGAGGAAGCGGTGTGTGTGCCAGGAAAGGCTGCGGAATCAATCCGTTCAGGCTTGGTGCCCCAGAGTTTTACGGCAAGGGCCAGGAACACAAGGTTGACACCTCCCGGCCGTTTACAGTCGTCACCCGCTTCTTGACGGATGAAAATTCGACGACTGGCGCCCTCAGCGAGATCAGGAGGCTCTACATTCAGGATGGAAAGACGATTCCAAGCACTTCCGATTCAAATATCAAGGCTCTCACGAAGGCCAACATTTCGCCCAGCGGTGGCAAATTTGAAGGCGCGTTGACGGAGGGGTACTGCAATGCTCGGGATTTCAACGACCATGCGCGGTTAGATGGGTTGAAGACGATGGGTCAGGCGCTGGGGCGCGGTATGGTTATGGTATTGAGTATCTGGAACTCTGAAGCCGACTCAATGGCGTGGTTGGACGCCGGGAAAAACGGGCCATGCCAGGAAGGTGAAGGGAAGCCGGACAAGATTGCCAAGAAGACGCCGGACGTCACAGTCACTTTCTCCAACATCAGATGGGGCGATATTGGTTCGACTGCATAAGGAGATGCATTGTCCGCGGGCGGCCAGGAAAAGTGAGGGGATAACCAGCGGCACGGTTCATCTGATGGTCACCCTTCAATGGTGTTGTAATATTGCATGGCTCTTCCTCGTCCAAGTATCAACCTAGAATAACGAGCTGCGATTAGCAAAATAAACCTTGACTGCTAATAACTGAACTCGTACTCGTGGTAAACGGTGTTTCTCCAACCTTCTCATATCTCCAGCCTTTTCATCCTGACTTTTCCCATTCACTCAACCACAGCCCTCCATCCGATGCATTTAATTCCGCCTCCTGCGAGCCTCAAAGAAGTCCGCAGAAGCTGGTATTTTCACGTGCAAAATATATCACACCTCGCAAATAGCTCAGGGCTTTTTACTCCTGACCACCAACAAAATCGTCTGCCAATTTCTGTCAGCACAACAACTTGCTCTTAACTGACAGCCTTGGGACCCTTAAGTTCAGGTCAACACGCATCAACAACAGCACACACAACCTTGACTCAATCGGCCCTGACTTGAACGGCAACGGCGTCGCTTCGTACAGTTCGAGTCCCGAAGTGACGACCACCAGCAGTGCGCTGCCCGGTCGGACAACCTCCACATTCACTACCAGCTAACCGCCATCGGCTCCCAGCTCGATTCACAACGTCGCCGACTCGCAACCCTGACCAGAACCTCAACCACAACCCTGATCACTAGCTCGCTCACCGACGATCAGGCCTCGGTCACGGCCCTGACCATAGACTCATCCTTCTTCTAGTCTACCAAGCACCGTACAGAACAACAAGATCGGCTCGGTACAAGGCTTTTCGAGGGCGACATTGGCACCCAGATACGTTTTATTGCACTGAGATCCCGCCAAATTCCCACCTATCAAGATCCCATCCACCAATCAAGATCCCATCCGCCTATCAATATTCCATCAAAGATTCGCCATGTCGGCCCCCGTGTCGATTGTTTGCCGCAAGCGATCCTCCTCGGGCAACGAGGACGCTTCTTCCGACGATAGCTCGCACAAACGTGCGAGGTCGAGCTCCCGCACTCGGAACGCCAACAAGAACCACTTCAACAATGTGGATCCCTTCAAGATGAACAACATCAAGCAGCTCATTAACGACGTCGCCGAGAAAATCGAGAAAAGTCGTCGTGCCAGTAGTGGTCAAACCTCCGAGGCTACCATGAGCTTCGGCTCCCCGTCCTCTCACACTTCCACCAAATCCACCACCTCCGGCCAAGTCGACTTCGGCTTCGGCGTCGACACCAGCGGCGACGTCTTCACTTTCCATCAAAGACCCGTCTACAAAGAGTTGGCTGACTTGCCCACCACTCCGCCGAGAACCGGCAGCGCTCCTTCGTCTCCAGAGCCCCCCAAGAAGAAACGCAGCAGGACCCAGAAGCGTGCCGATGCCAAGCGCCGGCAGAAGGTCAGAGAGCAGGGCGAGAGGGAAGCGCGCCAAGCCGAGGCAGCCAAAGAAGCTGAAAAGCTCAGGCAAGCCAAGCAGGACGAGAGGCAAGCCAAGCAAGCCGAGACAGCCAAAGAAGTCGAAAAGCTCAGGCAAGCCAAAAAGCTCAAGAAAAAGCTCAACGCTATCCAGAACAACAGCATTCCGTCGTCGCCGTCTCCTATGTTGATGCAGTTGGACGCACCGGTGGACGAGGACGTCGAATCCTGGGGCGCCCGCATCCAGGATGAGCTCATCGAGGCCAAGGCTGAGATGGTGTCGATGAAAAGGACCATCGACTTCCTCATGGCCCAGGTCCAGTATCTGCAGGCGAAGGCGGACGGGCACGCGGCTATCAATCAGGCTGCGCTGAGGGAGATGCAGGCTGTTCGCAGCGGTGCCGCACGACTCCTTCTCAACCGTTCGGATATCACCGTTGAAGACCATCGGATTCTGAAGGGCATCGCGTCCGAGTCGCCATCGTCGCCGCTCTGAAAGGGATGGGATATCGCCGATGAACCTTTTCAGCCGACCCACAGAGCTATAGCATTTCTGCTCTGGATCTGGATGGCCTTCCGCTGAGAACAAACGCAGCAATGGTATCGGATTCTTCGTGGAGTCTGGCAGCAAAGGATTGATTTTGACTTCCATGGGATTCTAAAGCGATGGCATGGTGGTGACAGACAGGCGTTGATGTGCATCTGGCATGGTTTTTGGCGTCAATCTGCGTATCGGTTGTGATTCTTCTTCTACTTCTTTTTCTTCTTCTCATCCTTCGTTGCCAAGTCAGATAGCTGGCGCTAGATGCAAAGGCCGTCAGGCATGCTTCATGGATCGGGGTGTGGAAGAAAGCAGTTGAGCGCCTCATCATCTGGTCTTCCCTTTTCTTCCTCTTTTGCTCTCACTCTTTCTTGTGGTGGGGGGGATCATATTTACTCGGGGGTCTTCTGCCAATCATTATCCGAATGAGAGGAACGGGATCGTCAGCTCTCTGTTAGCACGGCGGGGGAACTCAGCTATATTGCAACCTATTTCTCTTGGTCTGTTACCGCCCTCATGGTGGCATGGACTAGATGGGCGCAAGTACGGGATCGAGCTTTTCGTTGCATGTTCGTCCGGGGCGGACAGGAGGGAATCCAAAATTCGGGGAAAGGAAATGGGAGATGAACATACAAAACAGAGATTACTTGCTTCATTCCCATCGTCTTTGATGTTCCAGCAGTTCGTTGGATACCGGGGCGTGATTCCGTATTCCATGAGCTTGCAAGTTGTGCTTTCGAAGGCCGGGCTAAACGCTGATATCTTCAAAATTGAACCAGGAGGACTCAAACACGTTTAGTGCGTCATAACTGTGATTGATTACTGCCATACTGCCCCTGACAGCAACAAGACTCCCGTGACTGGGTGGTGGTGAGATCTGATGCCGAGGGGCTACCAGTGCCTGAGACGCGTGATGTTGCTTGCAAGTCAAGGAACACGTGAACATCACCTTAATCTTTCGCGACGGCTAATACAAGGACACAAACATATGGAGCAAATGATAGCTGTCCGGGTTCGGAACAACGAACATCCTGCGCAGATACCCCAGCTGTACAGGGCGGTCCGGGCGTTACCGTTACATTACCTGTTTTGACTCTGCACCTTCCGCCCATCGCTGTTGTGAAAAGTCGGCACTTCCTCCTGGAAAAGCAATGGAAGAAGGGGCCGACGCAGTTTCGTGCTTATAGACAAGCAGGCGGTTCCCAAAGAAACAGTACACACAGGACCACTATTTTTGGCTGAACCCGTGTGTACAGTCTTTTTGGAACCACTGCACCCGACAAGGGAAGAACAGCGGAGCAGGTCGGAGGCAAAATGTCGAACCGGACCCGGGCATCGCTGGCGGCCGAGTCCTATGCGATGCTGGAAAAGTGGAAACCGGGATGCAGCCTACAAGAAATGGAGACGGCGAGAGATATTGGTAAGACACTCGTTGGCAGAACCATTACGTTATTCATGAGCACCTTGGAAATGTCTAAATACGCTCCAAGACCTATGCCAACCTATCTATTTGTTCTCTCATGCGCTCAATCCTTGATGTGATTCCTCAAAATGTGACGATCTTGACTATCATCGCAAAGGACAGAATTTCTTGTGCCCCGCTTTTCACAGGATGAGAGATTGCCAGGCGTGGCCGCGGGGAAGGTGCAGTGCGCAGCGGGACGGAAGTTGCAGATGAGGTGCTCGGGGGAGCTTCGATTCCACGAAAAGTCTTACTCCTGGCACCTTATAATGTCCCATAGGTAGCACTCCTAAGATCTCAAGACTAATCGTCGTAAATAGTGAATATCGTCAACATCATCGAGGAAGAGCATCGGCCTGCAAGATCCCATTGGGGGTCCTCATACGCGACAAATGCGGAAGTTTGTTTGTCTTGGCACACAGCGCCCCTGAATTGTGGATCACCGTTCCCACACTCAAGCGCCTTGTCAGTCTTGGCGCGCTAGTTGTGTTGAGCTGGCCACAACACCGACTTTCCAACGGATTTTGACAGATTGACCAGATTTAACCGTCTTAATCAACGTATATCAACCGCATCGCATCGTAAATTATCGAAATCTGTACTAAAAAGCTAGTATTTCAATGCTGGCATATTGGCTATCGTTTTATTTAGCGTTTTTATTATCTTTGCTATTGTTATGGCCATACAATATAGTGAACTTTCCCAATTCGAACTAACGAGCCGTCGTAAATTTGATGTTCTATAACGACGAGCCTATTAAAGATATCGCTATAACCGCTGGCGTTTACAAGCGTATAATATATTGATATAAACGTAGTTTCAACATTATTGGCAAGCTAGTACTACCCTCTCGAGCGTCCCAAAATTCTAGGAAGCTTTCTATGTAGGCTATAGAGGTATGTTCGTAATTATAGTAACCGTTTGTAATTACTATATTATAATTATAATTAACGTTGTAAAGGAGGTTATAAAGCTATTAATATTAAAATTATCCCTATACTTCGACGAGATTTGTGCCTTCTTAATTAACGAATATAATATATATATATTGATTAAAATTATATAGCGCTATTTATACTAGGAGCGTTAGAAGAAAAAGAGGCTAACGTTCAAAGTGGTATAGTAAGAGCCTAAACTAGTAATAGAGTAAATAATAAAAATATCGTTATTTATTATAAAAATATTCGTCTTTTACAGTAAGTCTAGTATAAATCGACGCAATAGAACTTATTATATTAATTAGGCTCCCCGTGTACTATTACAATAATATTAAACCGCTTTAAACGTAACAAATAGTATTATATTCTCCTAACTATATTAATTAACGGCGTATTCGAAATACTAATTTTTAAGAGACAGATAAATACCACAAAGTTTATTAAATAATTTAAAAATCGCCCCCTCCCTATAATAAATCCTTTTCCTAATCGTAATAGTATTTTAGTAATAGATAACGTAAATTAATATCTATATAATAAATTCTATTATGTGTATATAGGCGCGGATATATTACTCTAATATTTACTGCTATATTCCCTAGAATTCAATCCAATCGAGGCGTACTTTAATAAGTTTAGAAAGTATATAAAGTGAGTATATAACGACGAAGGTAGCGATAAAATAGCTAATAAAGACTTCCCTATCTCCTTCCGTCAAATTGTTAAAAATATTGGGTATAGAGTATAATAGATCCGTAACTACTTTAAAAACGGCAAATTAATTATAAAGGGTATTAATAATATTAATAAAAGTTATACGATTCTATATACTAGCCAACTAGAAGAATTTAACAAAACTACTAACGTTATTACGCGAAGGTAAATAGGGAAGGTAATTAGGTAATATAGGGGGTAATATATGATTTATATTATAATTTAGTACTAGAAATGCTAGAAACGCCAGAAATGCTAGAAACGCCAGAAATGCTAGAAATGCCAAAAGTGCTAAAAGTGCTAGAAGTATTAGAAGTGTATTTATTTATATAATAATGAAAAAAGGGTGCTAGAAGTGCCAAAAATACTAGAAATACTAGAAATACTAAATAAAGTACTAATATTTATCTATATAATAATAAAAAGAATATATAAGAGTACTAGAAATATACAGAATCCCCCCTTATAACTAAAGTAGTCTACCACTTTTACTATAATTCGTTTCATATACTATAACCGCTAGCGGTAGTACTGCCTACTAAAGAAGTATATACTTTCATAATACTAAACTCGAGGGCGGTAATATTAGTCGGTCGTATTATAAAGCTATATTAGGAATTTAATATATAATAATAATAATAATTAATTAAATTTATTAATTAGAGGGTAGAGGGTATACTGTAGAAGCTATTTACTTAGGCAATTATTGATTGTTCCTACTTGAGGAAGGTTTTAATATTATTTTTTAATAAATTATAGAATTCTATTATAAAGTCTAGCTTTATAAACTATTCGATTGGCTAGTCCTTAAGCGCTATAATATTTGTAACGGGGGCGCTTAGTCCTCTAAGTGCCTTTCGTAGTACGATTAAAACTTGCGATATTTACATTACTATTATAATCTTCCTAAAATAATACTCTTAGTAGAAGGTTTTCAAGAATTTAATAATAAATTCGCTTAGGGTACGGTTACGTACCGGGGGTAATAGCGAAGAAGAGGGAATTAGAGGGGACTTATCTTCATCGGTAATAGAGGGTAGTACAATTAATAGAGGTATTAGAGGTACAGTTAAGAATAAGATAGAGGATGCCCATATAAATATAATAAACGAGGGTAGAGGAAGGTTACGTCTAGTAGCTAGCGTATTATAATTAATAAAGTAACTATAGAACGCAATAATCTAATAATCAAATAGCGTATTTAAGGTGGCGCTTAATAGGGTTACTACAATACCCGGTACTAATATAGTAATAATAGAAGTAACTATAATAGAGGAAGGAGGAAGAGGCGGCGGGAAAATTAAATAATAAGGGTAATTATATAAAAGGTAATATATTAACTAATATAGCGGGTATAAATATAGCTAGTATAGGGGGTAGTATAACGCTAATAGCTTCTCCTCCCTTTTTAATATTAGCTATTAAAAATTATTAATAGATTTTATACTAGTATTATTATTACTACTATTAACATTATTAATAATATTAATATATACTAGGAACTTATTACCGCTACGTCTCCTACTATTCGAATTAATACTAGCCGTAGCAACTTCTATTATAATTATCCTTTAAATAATTAAAATAGGGGGATTTCGTACAGTAATATACTTAGCCGCGATAGCCTCTACTTATTTACCCGCGTCTTTAATAGAGAGGTTATAATATATTTTACTACTATTAACGAAGTAGTATATTTAGTAGTTAACTCCCTTATTATAATTTTTATAATTATATTTAATATTATATTCCTACGTCTAAAAGAACTTACAGTACATAGTACCATAGTGTCATGGGGCTAAGGCCTGGGCTGTGACGCTCTAGTCATTGACTAGAGCTAT